GACTTGGGTTTCCTGAGGTAGAGGCTAGCCCTTGTCGTAGGGAGAGGACGGGAAGGGACCAGCGCCAACCCCCCACCTTCGAGAGGGCACTGGTCGGGGTCAGGTACGTGCCCGAGATCCTCAAGTTGAAGAGGAGAGAAGAACCAAACTAAGGCACGACGGCCTTGGTAAGGGGTCCAAGGCCCCCTCCGCTCAACAACAAAGCAGGAGGGGCCGTGAGTTGCCCCTTCCACCCCAGCAGCAACAACAACAAAGACAACAATAGTAGCAGAGACAAACTCCACCTCCCTTGTCGCAGACGGTGGAAGCTGCAAAATGAAAACCCTCGGGCTACTGATCACATGAACCGGGTGATCAGGGTCAATGATTCTATTCTGCAGGACCCCCATGTCGCCAATGCAGTGAGCGAAACGCTCCATTTTAAGGCCGACATGGAAGCTCACATGGGGCGGACAACTAGCACGTTGTTCAATTCCATCATTCAGAACTCTCTGGTGGTAAGTTCATCTTTGGTTTAGTCTTTCCTTACTGTATCACCTATAAATTGACCAAGTTCTTTCTCCCGCAAGCCATTCAACAAATTTCTATAATCACTGCATGATATCATGCAGCCAGAATAGACCTTCAACGGACCCAAGAGCAGAAGGAAGAGGTTGAAGGAGCCTTGGTCATCGCTAAGGAGGACATGGTTGCCAGGGACTCCACCCTCACGGGCCAAGCCGCTTAGATTGAGCAACTGCTCAAGAACAGCGAATCGACGAAGGTTAAGGCTGAAAAGCTAAGTGCCGTTTTGGCCGACGCTGAGAGGAGGAGTACGAAACAGACGCAACGTCTCTCTACGGCCGAAGTGAGGGCCGTCGGGTCGGAGGAGAACTGTCTGGCTCTGACCTAGGAGCTTGACATGATTAGGGCTGAAGCAGAGAACAGAACTCTGAGGAGCAAATCCGAGAGAAGTTTGCCGATGACATACTACCCGCCCTTGAGGAGAACAGTAAGGAGTTCTTCAAAAAGGGGTGGGATGAGGCGCTAAAATTAGTTTGAAAATTTGTATATATGATCATTGTAGTCAATTTGAGGATATGGAACCAAAATACAAAAATTGAAAAGGTTGACACTCTTCTTGCACCAAAATTCTCAAACCTAACTAACAATCTCTGATCATTATGAAAAATTACTTGAAATGTTTTAAAAGACTTTTTTAATGTATAGAACTAAGTCACTTTTGTTCATGAAAGAATAGCAAAAGACTTTTGAAAATCATAGAAGGTGACATGAAGTTAGACTGATAATATTAACTTCCCTTAGAAGTATTATGATCAAGATTGCCTTCTGGCTCTAGTGATCGAAGCGTTATCAACACTAATCATAATTCAAATAATAAGTAGATCTTATAGCAAAACACAGTGAAAACTCTACCATTGAGAGAATGTATCAAAGAGGATTCAAATACAAAACTTATCCCTAGATTTTAACTTGGGAAGCCAACAATTTTCACAAAAAAATGGACGAAAACAAATATACTAAGTTGACTTGATTATTATATTGTACTGATCTTTTTTCTTTGTTTTGTTTATAGTTACTGTGCGTGCACGATCTTGCACAATATAAACACAAGAACAGATCTCTTACGTGGTGAACACGAGTCTGTCAGTCGAGTGGTCAATCTTGCTACTTGAAATAGGTTGTGAGGGCCGAAGGTGACCTATGAAGTGGTAATGAATTGTTTTTAGGGGTCGCTTGATTGGTCCTGGGAGGCTATGAAAGGTACCTGGAACAGAGAAAAATTGGTTAGAAGGGCGCCAGAGTGTTTTTCGGCATATCTCCTCCGACGATCAAGTCAATTCTTTGAGAGAGGAGAAGAAGAAAAAACTATATGGTCCTTCAGAAAGGGTTTTTTACATACTTTTTAAATGTATTTGTGAAGACTATTTATATCTTACAAAACTCATTATTGCTGACAGCGTAGCTAATGGGTAATCATTAGCAGGTGGGCAGTGTGTACGCTATTTTTTATGAGAAATGTCCTCATTCTTAACTGTTCGGGACCCCGAACAACCAATGCTTTCTCCTCGGTCTGCCAAGTGTTTGATGACCTTCTTTCGATAGGGATATATTAAATGTCCAGGCATAGAAATATTTATTACCTTTCACTTCCAGGCTCGTATGCATTAAATGTTGTCTCATCGAGTGAATGATGCATTAAATGCCTGACCTTCCAAGCCATGTGTCAGCAAAGACATTCTGGTTTTTTCGTCTCTGACCTGACACAATATGCCACGTGTCCATTTCCTTTTGGTTGAACCTTCTGCTTCCTTGTGCCTCCTGACACCATTTGAATAGCACGATGTTGTGATGACTAGTCTAGCCTAGCCTAGGCTAGTAACCTATCAATCAATAGCCCCTGAAGGAGTAGAAACGCCTCGTGGACTGATACACCTCGATACTGAGGGACTAGCATGATTAGGGACCGATGTGCCAAAATTGACCGAAAGATACGTGTCGGTCCATGGCGTATTGGGGATCCTTGATCCCTAAGAATAGTACCGTCGGGGAAGGGTATTATGGACCGACGAGCACATGTCGGGATCACAACGAAGAGTCTTCATTAACGCCGAATACACGTGTCTTCTGAGAGTGTTTGAAAATGTCCCATCAGTTACTACGCCATTCTTTGGTAGTTTTTCATCAAAAATTCTGAAACTTTAAGGTAAATCTTTATAGATTTGGTTATCTCTATTCAAGATTTATAGGTTTGTAATTATTTATATCTTATTTTATGGACTTTAAGTATAACTGTTTCATATCATAATATTTCTCAAGTTCTTGTATAATAATATATATATATATATATATATTTTTTTTCAGTCTCTAATCTATTTTTCATTAGAACTTGGTTCAAGCGTAAATCTAAGACCAATAGATAGCTGTAAATATTAGATTTTCATGTTTCTAGAATAATTGTTTGTGGTCTCGGTCCTTGAGATCCGTAAAACATATAGCAAGTATCATATAGATGCAATTTCTTATTTCGAGCACATATATAATAAACTATAATTAGGGACACGAAAAAACAGTTTTAGGACATGTGTTTCTGTCAACAATTGCTATTCTAACTGTAAAGTATTCAACACTATTTGAAAGCATGAATAAATCCTAAGGCACAATAGAGATAGAGACAAACTGTAAATTCAGATGTTCTGAGTTCGAATTTTAATAATTCTTTAGAGTCAAACCATGAAAGATTTATTCCTTATGAAATATCATAGTTTCAGCGTAAATGACTTGCCTTTGATAGGATTAGAGAAGAAATTAGTCGAGATGCGCATAAGTCGGTATGAACACCTTGACTATTAAACCAAAAACAAAAAAAAATATGAATTAGGAAAAAAAGAAAAATTGAAGAAACGCACATGTGGGGGGATAGAATCTAGTGGGACATTAGTATATAGTTTTAGAGGAAACGCACATGTGGGGGATAAATATTGTTTGAAAAGAAGAAAAACTCTAGGGGGCGTCATTGTAATTTTTACAAAAATAATTTAATGTGGGCTTCCGGGTATAAAATAGAATTTGACCAATTAAAAGCGAAAAAGAGTCTGTATCCCACAAGTAAATATTGAATAAAACAGTAGTTTTTAAAAATAATAGTTATATAATGTCAGTAATATTATTTGGTATAATTGTCTAATAAAAATATTAAAAAATAGATAAAAATGAGTTTTTTTTTTTAACATAAGAGTGATTATATATTATATAGATGGTGAATTTTAACCGTTACTGTCAATATTTTCACACTCAGTAGGGTATGAAACAAACCAACAGACAACAAGATGGTGTGGGCCCTTTCATCTTCGTGCCGTGTTCAAGTACCCAACAGCCAAGTCATCCATCCACCCACAGCAAAAGAGTAAAGAAAATTCGAAACTTGCGAATTGCTTTGTTTTCTTTTACAGTTTCGAATATTTTCTCATCGGTCGGAATCATGACAATGGTTTAACAGGGTACCACTGATTAATACTAAAATTTTAAATAGGAAAGTGAATTTCACTTAAATTGAGGAATTATTTATTTACATGATAAGTTAGTTATTAATTTTTTTTAAAATTCATTTGCTTATTTATTTTTGTGTTAATCACAAATTACATATTTAAATATTTTTTGAATATCAATTCATATTCATAAAGATAAAAAATTTTAATTTATGCCCTCAAAGATATAAATTTATATCAATGTGTATCTGAAACTAATAACTGTTAGTTAACCGGTCTAAAACTAGTAAGATAAATTACACCTAGACTCCTCAAGTTTGTCACTTAATTATTTATACCCCTCACATTAAGAATATTACTCTTATACCTCCTGACTTTTATATACGTGTAATACATAACTCTTTATCGTTGATATCTGTTAATATAACCGTTAAAAAATATGAATTCATCATAATAAAAAATTATAATTTTCATATTACTCTTTATTTTGTGAACCCGTTATACTCTAATGTTCAAAATTAATCTTATTATTTGAATGCTCAATATAATGTAGGTATATATATAATATTTTTTATATCCAATAAAATACATCATTTGAACATAATTATTTGGATGCTCAATTGGGGGAATAGTTTTAGTGATATTTGGATTCTCAGGTGGTATAGGTGTAATATTTTAAAATATTAATAGTCTAAGTGATTAAATGATAAATATTAGGATGTCTAAGTACAATTTATATATTTAATTTTACGCGTGCAAATTGATACTTGTTTTTTTGAAGTCACAAATTAAAATTTTTGATATATAAAAATTAAAATTGGAACGATGTTTTAAAATATACTAATTTACAATTATTTTTTTGATTTTAATATTATTAATCGGTGATGAATATTTTCTCCGGGATCACTTCAACTTTACTGTTTCTCTCTCCTCATGAACTCCCCCACCCTCTCACAGTCCCACTAAAACCAAGACACAATTTCAGATATTTCACAGAGAGAGGGAGAGAGAATGGGGCATGGAAGCTCGAAGTCAGAGTCGTCAGATGAATCTGCAGACGGTTCGAAATCATCTTCATCTTCTTCTTCTCGTATATCCAGACTGAAGCAGAAACTTCACATTCACCATCAGCACCGTGGTCGTCATCATCATCGCAAGAAGGGTTCGATTTCGCATTCTAAACTGCTTAATGAAAAGGATTTTGCAGGCATCGCACTTTTCAGACTCATCAGTGTACATTTCTCTCTCTCTCTCTCTCGCTCTCATGTTTGATTCTAAATTCATTTATACATATAATTTTTTGTATGATTTTGAAGCTTCGTATGTGCTAATTGTTGCAATTATGGCTTTTGTTTCAAGGCGGAGATGAAGTTTAAGGACAAATGGCTGGCTTGTATTTCTCTTGGAGAACAGACATTCCGCACTGACATCTCTGATCAGTTAACCATTACGCTACTTTTTCTGGTTTTGAATTTCCTGGTTTTATTTTCAATCCTGTATGTATATGTATTAAGTGCATGAAATTGGAACATTACTTGAAAACTATAGGTGAATGTGGGGTTGAATCCCTTCCCACACCCTCTAACGTCTAGCCACCCTTTTCCCCTTTAGAGACATACTCTAACCCAGCTTAAAGCAGGTGGCTAGCCGCTGTCCTTGAGGGAGTATTCGGCATAAGCCAGGACATCCTGTAGCAAAAAAATAGGTGAATGTGGGTGATAAAGGTGATGGAGTCAAGTGGATTGATGCGAGTTATTTTGAGAAGGATTGAGTGATTATCATATTGCTTGATGCCGAGAGAATATCGGTTGACTTTTCAGGAAAGAATATGATTTGGTTTTCATTGAGCCTGAGCTCCGCCACTGGGATGATACAACAAAACATGAGAAAGAAAACAAGTGGAACCATAAGAAGAACAATTTGAAAACAATGATATCTATAGTACGGAATGAGAGCAGAATGGAACATTTAGAAGGAAGGAAGAACCAATTTTTTTTCCTAACTTACGGAAAAAAGTATAGTTTTCCCAACTTACAGACTAGTGTGTGTATGTATGTATGTATATATATAGCTTGGATGAGAGTGAAGCAGTGGCTTTTAACATTTTATCATGGTCAGTTGTCCATTTTGATTCTTGGGGGCTCTTTTGAAGGACATAATTTGTTGGGCTTCTTTGGCTTATTTTATTTTGTTATTGATTTTTCATCCTAGAGTGTGGTGCTAGTAATGTCCTTTCATTAATTATGTTGTTTGGGTATTTTAGAGTATTTTTTTTGCAGAAATTATGTTGTTTGGGTATTTTAGAGTATTTTTTTTGCAGAAATTATGTTGTTTTGTACTTTTGTTTAAGTTTCATTGTGGATGCAGTTGAGGCTGTTCATCCCCTTTTGAGTTAGTGATTGTTACTCCATTTGTTTTCTTGCATTTTTTATTAGCAGAAACGGTATCTGTCTACGTGTGTAGTACTTGTACAGAGGCTCATATGAAGTTCCTGACGTGTTTAACATTTCTTTGTGCTTTACATGTTGGTAATTGCCGAATGTTATATCCTACATTTAAGGACATTGCTATGTGCAACACGTTATTTCCTGAAAGGCCTTCGTTTTTATTAGAAGTTAACAAAACCTCTCACAAACTCATTTTATTTTTTGTTTAATTCAATTATACTTGTATTAATGGTGTTCTATTGGCGGTGCAGAACCAGCAACCCAACCTGGAACTCTGTGAGTAACCTTAATCATTACTTTCTTATGGCACTTACCATAAATTACATTCTGTAGCACACGTTATATTTTTTGACCTGTCTCTTCAATCTAGTCATTTGATGTCAGGATGATGAGCATATTGGGGATTTTGCACATAGTGGTCTTTTATCTAAAAAGATGCAAGCTGACAATTACTCATCACCAGAATAAAGTATTCAATGTGTTCTGTTACCAAATCTCTCACCTGTTGTGTTTTGCACCACACTGCTAAATAACGCCATCATCTTCATCAAGTTTTAGTGATAGTTAGAGGGAAAACTTGGCATTTTTTAACTAGTTACTGCATTATTCATTTCATGCAAGTTTCCTCCGGTGATTATTAACTTCATACTCTTTTGCAGGAGAAGAAACTTCTTTTGGAAAGCAATGGGCCACGCATTGCGAGAATATCAGTGTTTGAGGTGCGTAGTTAGTGTAATAATTAATATGGTCATATGGATTGCCTGTATTCTTTTTATTGCATTGCTTTGAGTCAAACAAGCATCAATATAAAGTGATGCCTTGCAGAACACGAATACTGTGTCAATGTCCTGCAAGAACACAAGGCATGACTTGTACTGAGACTGAAAAAAAGGAGATACAATATAATGTGGAAATAGACATGGATTTTGGCTTCTGATAATTGTAAAGAAGATAGAAAAAAAATTGATCATTCAACACAGTGACCCCAGGTTGAAAAATACATCTTAATATAAGTTGATGGACCTTTGTTTCAAACTTTTCCAACATTAAGCCACCTATAAATTCAAATTCTTTTACTTGATCGGTTGATTTTGGAACTTGAGTTTTGTAAAAGTTGTTAAAATTTTGCAGTGGGCCAGGGGTTTCCTTTGCACACTTTCTCATTGTAATTTTTTTTCTTCTTTATTTCTCTTATATTCCCCTTCTTTTTTTTTTTTTTTTTTTTGGGGGGACACCAGAGTTTGATGATCATTGTAAACTGTCTGTGTTTTGTGTCTTTGAAAAATTGTTCTTAATAATGTTGTGCTCCACTCATCAGCTCTCTCTGTGATGCAGACCAATAGAGTGTCCAAGAACAATCTAATCGGGTATTGTGAAGTTGATCTATTCGAATTTCTTACTCGGGTGCGTAACAATGTTTAATGGATAAAATCCATATTCCAAGTTTTATGAAGTCATTTTATGCCATGCTTTATGTTGTTGTTCTCGTAAAGTTCACTTTAAGTCTCAATGGATGACTTTGGTGTGAAGGAAAAGGAAAAATGGAAGGTGGAAAGGGACATCTCTCTGAATCTATCTATACATAGATGTGCATATGTGTGTACACATGTATGTTTATTTTTTCGGAACATGAATTCCAAACTAGGTTCAGCTCATTATATGGAACTCCAAATCCTTTTGTAAATAATAATGTGTAAATGTAAACTGAAACTTAATATCTCTAGAATTCACAAGAGTAAGGCCTTTAAAATACCAACTTCGATTTCATTGCCAAGTGAAATGTACCTTTTAGTCTTGGTAATGATTGCATTGCAGCATTTAACTAGAGGGTTATCACCTCATGTTTTGTTGGGATGTAACGATGTTCACATATTTTCCTATTTTAAGTCCCTCTTTTGGTGGATTTGTTCTCCACTTCTTTTTTACTTATCTCTTTCACTAATAAAAGTTCTGTTTCCTGTCACAAAAGAAAATAAAATCTTTTGATGGAAACAGTGGGCGGAGGATTGTTTTGGAACATTACTAAAGACAACAAAGGCATTGAAAGGAAAAATTAAACCCATTATTTTGTGATGTTGGATTTTCCATCTTCTTAAGCTTTTATACCCAATCAAGCTCTGCTGGTATAATATGCATATGCTAGTTCATGCAAAATGCCTTGCCTGTTTAAAATTACATGATGACATAAAGGACCATCAGGAAGAAATAGCTATGAATTTGCAAGTTCAGCAATCAAATTATATTCTATCTGGTTCTTGTTTATAGCTTCTTTTATTTAGTTCTTAAGTGCAAGGGAAAAACAAAAGGACCAAGCTATGAACCAAACTGAAATTAATAAAGCATGTTGCTAAGAACAGTCTGAGAACATCTGAAATTGCAATAAACCAGTAAAGATGACTTTACAGGGAAAGAATGATCAATTAAGGGTTGAAAGATGCAACATAATTAAATTGGTATATATTTGTTTTGTAAGAATATTCCTTTTATCGGAATGTTTAATGATAAGACCACATTCTTGTTGAACAATAATTCACGTAGACCCCTTGATTAACGTACCAACTGAAAGCGGGAATGCACAAGCATGATTAGACTTCCTAGCCTAAGACCTTACTGGACAAAACTTGCATACCATGTTGCATTAGTAGTTTCGAAAAGCTTGAGTTATTAGAGAATCTGGCTAACAACACATATCAAGCTTGCAACGCACTTCCAAATGTCTATATCTGTGTGTATGTAAATGATGGCATATGCGTTGAACAACATTAGCTGACTAACATGGCCTTTGTATATATATTCATAGTTATTAAATCGTGTTTCGGAAAGTGTATCTTTTTTTAAAAACAGTGTATTGTATCGTGTATTGTAAGATACGGTGCAAATTGAAATAAATAATAATAAAATATATATACCTTTGAAAAAAAATTATACATTCATAAAAAATATAGCATTTCATTAATACTCTACCAACTATTCAAGTCATCAACATAATTCACTAATATTGTAATTCAAAGTTCACAACCATAGTTTACTAAGTCAAACTTCAAACACCAAAGACAAAGAGACTTCTAATCCAAATTTCTAACATCCATTAACAACTCCCCAATGAATGCTAGAAAAAAACTGATTATCACAAATAACCCAAAATGCAACAACCAGCAATGATCAAAGCAGGTGGAATAACAGCCTGAAAAAAATAAACAGATTCAAATAAAGCTGAACACTGTTCAAACAGTGCTTGCCGGTGCACCTGGGAGATATTTTCAGCAAGAAATTCAATTAAATGCTTATGGGCTGCACAAAACAACGTTCCCCAGGCCTAGTTGCACCCAGAGTTGAAGATCAGTAAACAACGAAGAAGGGGAAAAAAAGGATTTTATTTTTTTTGTAACCCTAGCCACTGAAACGATGTCATTTTAGTGGTTATAGGGATAAAAAAATCAGCCACTTGCCACAAAACAACGTCATTCCATCAAAAAAAAAAACCAGCTTTTGCACGTATCGTGCGTATCGCATCGTAAAAACGTATCGTGTATTGGACGATACAACGCAAAAATAATACATAACTACGATCCGTATTGTTTTAGGCCTGTATCGTAACATATCGTACGATACTAACAACTATGGTAATATATTACTGTTGTCCTTTGGCTGCATATTTATGATGCCTGTACATCTTGTGAAGAACATTATTGTTGTCATCAAGAAGCCACTTTCCTGAATATTTGAAGTTTTCTCTTCATATTTGTTGCATCATCAGAGATTTACCTAGGAGGATTTGCCTGGGGAAGTTCCTTCCCTCATCTCCAGATATGATGTAGTAGGGGGATCCTTGCAGGAGATGCACGTGTTGGTCTAACTATTTTCCTGTGGAGTTTCATGTTTTATGATGGAATCTAAATAATCATGAGGTGTAATCTCCTTTCTTCTCTTATTCACTGGGTGCTCTAAGGATAAGAGGGCCTAAAGTGTTGGTAACCATGGCAGATTCTCTCTTAGGATCTGGTTTAGAGTTAGATGAGAGACAACTTACACCTCCCCATTCCCTTGGCCCCACAAAGCACACAGACACACACAAATGAATTATTCTTGCTCTAGGGTCAAAATTATTGATCTGCTTTAGGTAAGAAGATGCTGCAGACCTTAGCCTTGATCTGCGGATGTTATGCAAAATAAGGAACGAAGCTTCGAATCATATATGCATACACTGCCCTTTCTCTTCTGCCTTGTGGCACAGGTTAGGTCTGTTGAGTTGCCTGACTACTTCGATACTACTTTTGACTTAGGTCTTTGTTGAAGGAACTCATTTGTGTTATTTGGAATGTGAAAACTCTAGAAGACAAAACACTAAACTTGAGGAGCTTTTGTTGTTTGGGTCCTCTGGGGATGTTTTTCTTGACTTTGGTTGGGGCTTGAGTTTCCAAATAAAAGATTTAAAACGGACTTTTGATCCTTAAGTTGTATGGCTGAGAAGTTCTTAGTTCTTCCCAAATAAATAATGAAGACAATCATCAGCTAAACTTTGATGATAGTGCTCTTGGGGATCTGGCAAACATATCTTCATCAATGTTTGTGGGAGTGTAGCATTATCTTTTGTTAAGGCAGACTGGCAAGAGGGAACTTTATTTTCCATCAAAATTGAGGTTCCTACTTTTTTAGATGGCCTTAGGGCAGCTCCCTTCTCGTGAACTTCTAAGGTTTTTTTTTGTTTGTTAAGTATGAGTTGGATGGCACAGAAGGTGGTTTGGCGAGCTAGAGCTCACTGGATTTCCCCACGACACTATGCTTACAGATGAGGACATCTAGATCTTTTTATTTTTTTTGGCACCGAAGACGCCAAGACTAATTGTAATTTGAGATCTCCTTCTAGGGTGGATTTCTGGTCCACTACTTTTGTACATATTTCTTTAATTAATGAAATTTATGTTTCCTCTCATGCAAATTGAGTCTGGGAAATAAGATGCATACTTCTTACCCAAGCATGTGGTTTTTTCCCTGAAGAGTTCTAGAGGTGACTTTGTTCTCCCTAAAGTGGATTGTGGTAGGGAATGCATTAAGTGGGTTGCTATTTAAGCATCATAGAAGTTGCTTCGCCCTCATCAACCTTTCTTGTATTTGTTTTCTTATTGTTCTTTTATCTTGAAATATAGCCATCTACCTAAATGTATTGTGCTATATTTCCAAAATGTACGGTACCTATAAATTGCTTTGTTAGGCAACAATTTAATGCAAAGTTTTTGAGCCTATAGTGGAGCTAACCCATTATGTGTTGCAACCAAAATATTTTGTTTCTATGTTCCTTGTACACAATACTGTTGCCATTCATGTTTCAACTTATTTAATGAAGTCTTTCATGAACAGGTTCATTACTCTGTCTTTGCCATTTTTCTTAATTCGTTGTTAACTTTCTACTATCAACTGGATGGGCATGCATAGAAGTGGATTTGTGAAATCATTGTCATTCATTTGATATTTCCATAGCTGAAAGCTAACTTTTTAGTAATGCTTACCACTAAATCAAGAATCATATGAAATTTCTTAGTCCTCACTATGGTATTGAATGTTTTTGTCATACGGATATCGTTATTTGTCAGTTGTCTTCATTGTATCAAGGCTTTGTCCATGATGGATTTGGTTCCATCATTATAGATTGCATGAGCATCATTATATAAAGTTAAAGACATATCCTGATAAAGAAACCTTTCAGTGAGGGTTTTGTGAGGCTGGACCAGATATAGACCTAACATTTGACATTTTTGGCACAATCTGGTTTCCTTTAAATTTGAGTCGGACAGCCTTGTGGCTGTTAGCCTGCACATTTACAACCACAAAAAAATGCTCTTAAGAGAAAGTGACATGCAATGTTTTTTCACATTCTTATGAATAAGAGAGTAGAGCTGCTGAATTAGCAGAATTTAGTACTTAGCAAAAATTTTAGTGATTTGATCTTTGCATAACTAGTATCATAGGTTGAAAGCTACTTTACTACTATTATTTACTAAGTATCACATTTGTGTGAATTAAGTTGGTCATTTTATATTTGGTAAGTTAAACTAGCTAGATGATTTAGAATTTTTTTTTGTTTTAAGATTTATATGTTTTTTTTTTAATCATGATTTTTGGTACAATGTTTCCTTGTGTTTTTATTTGGTCGTGATGTACTTGAAGGAATTAATCTTGCAGGATTCCGATTCTGAATTTGAGGTAGTTGATCTGTCAGATCCATCATCATCCGACATAGTTGTTGGAAACATTTCTCTTTCATGTTCTGTTGAGGTGTGTGCAGTAGCAGGCGGCCTTATTTTATTGATATTTAACTATGACATGCACTTGGTTGGGTATGTAACAGTAAATCTTTGACAGGATCCAATTGAAACAGAAAAAAGTTTTGCTCGACGCATCTTGTCTATTGTGGTATGTTATTAACTCTCACCCATTATTTTGACATGTGCTATCCACTCATCTACTGTTATGGACTTATGGGGGACATGATAGTCACTCAATCGAATCTAATGCGATCTATCCATCTCCTTTAGCTAAGAAAAAGCTTGACAGTTCTATTTTTCAGATTTGACTAGAACTCACATATTGGAAATTGAATGTGTAGTTGCACATTACAATTTTTGTATTCTATAAAGTTCAGAATACAGTCACATGGATGAACCCAAATAACTACATATGCATCTTGTATAGTCTCCCAAACTTCATTTTATGTTCTTTAAAGTATATCTTTTTCCTTTGTTCTCTTTTTGTTATTTTGGAAGTGTCCTAATTAAACAGGTATATTAGAATACAAGGAAAAGTACAAAAGAATAGACAAGGAAAAACACAAAGTTGATACTTGAATATAACAACTGAACCCTAGTGCTTCTCATTAAACTGAAGCCTTGTGCTTTATACAGGACTATGATGAAGACGGAACGCTTTCATTCTCTGAATTCTCTGATTTAATTGATTCATTTGGCAATCAACTGGCAGCAAGCAAGGTTCTCAAAGTTTGTCTTGTTCTTAAAATTTTTTATCTGCCTGTTGTTTACTGGTTGATGAGAGATTTTTGAATTCTCAAATAGGGGTTTCCCAATAGAACTTGGAATTACACCTTGAATGGCTCTTGAACAGCTAATGCAAAACCAAATCTAGCCTTCCAAAGCAGCATCCCAAACTATTCAGTATAGAGTTTGGTTTGATAATTCTATTTTCTGAGAAATATATTTTTTCTTGTTTACTAGAAAGAGGAGCTTTTCAAAGCAGCCGACAAGAATGGGGATGGTGTTGTTAGCATGGATGAGTTGGCTATCCTTCTTGCTGTTCAACAAGAAAAGTAGGGGCATGTAATAGACGTTTCTGTTTGATAGTGAATGTTACGCTATTTTTCCTTTTTTTATTCTGCAATTAAAGAATTTGCCACCTAGATGAGATGTCCCTGCATATAGATGTTTCTTGTACATCCTGCCCTTGTTGTGTGATTAATTCGATTATGGTGTTTCGTGGTTGTGTGCTTAACGAAATAATGTTGTTTGCTTTTGTGTAAACATTGCAACAAGATTTGTATGGTGATGTTATGTTCTTTACCTTGCCAAGTTATCCATTCATAATTCCATTCTTTTATAGAAACCACCTAATCATCCCGTTTAGTAATCGGTTCTATGTTTTGTGGAAGTCAATGAAGACATCCATATGACATATTATACTTAGAATTGAAGGTTCGGTAAACTAGATTAGAAGCGGTCTCCTTAACATGAAGATGAATGATTTATTCTCATTCTTTTTCTTTGTTTTTTTCTTCACATGAAGATGGCTGATAGGACCCATTAGTTTGTTTTTTGAAACAGCCAATCAGGGCTCCAAAAATCTCCCTAATCTCCATATAGGACTGCAATGACTTTCTCCGTGATTTGAAGTATTGTCAATCTCGACATATCAGTTCTGCTCAATGTTTTCTAGCCATGATGTATTCAGAACTATGTTTCCAGTGTACATGCTAGTTATGTTTTATCTTCTCAAGTAATTAATTATTCCATGTTAAAGTTGCTAAAGAAACCTGCTCTGTTGGGTCAAATACTTGATCTTTACTTACACATGCCAAAGGATTCATAACTCATGTATAATGGTTAAATTCTGGTTCAGATGCTGAAATCTTTTAAACAAATATTAATTTTGGAACAAAACATATCTTTTGGCTTTATTCTTTTTCAATTTGCACTTAGTGAAGTTAAAGTAGAAATTGAAATTAATCCCCACTACCAGTGTAAAAGCATACTAAACAAAATTCTGTGCAAAAACATATATAGAAGTTGTAACTTGGTTAGCTTATACTCTGGATTGGTTGATATCCTGTGTCGTTCATTTCATTTATTGTCATCCCCTTTTTTAGTAGGTGTAATGACTAAATGCTTTAGATCAGATGTTGCATGTTCTGTCCGGTCTGGTGACTTTTGGTAACCTCAAGCCTTAGTTCAAGACAGCTCCAATGTAATTATGATTGGATTTGCTTAATAGTATTTTTCGCAACAAGAAGCACACTCAGGTTGTTTGAAACTCTGTGGAACCCTTTTTTTGGACTTTAAAAAATTAATTTTCGCAATTGGTCAAATGCACAGCCTTTTGAGGATTTTGTAGGATTGAGAAGCATCAATGCAATGGTGTTGGTCTCTTCCATCCTTCTTTCCTCATGAAGAGCCAATATATGGTCAAATAATCTGAGCCATGTAGTGGGTATAGTTGATAGGGAGGCACGGGAAGGCATTAAATCTGCATCTGTGACTGTAGCTCAAGTTGTGCAAAATTGGGTCAAATTTAATGTGGCTTATTCTCCTCTACTATATACAGTAACTTCTGATTTTAGATACAGGGGGCTCATCCTACTCTCCAAAGGCAGTTATGCTTTTATGAATACATGCAGTTTCTCTGAGCTAATTACTTCTGTTTAGTAGGTAATATGAGTTGACGGTATTATTATGGGCTTCTCACTGCCTTTATTATCTATCCTAAGTTCTTATCTTGCAGGGAGCCACTTATCAATTGCTGCCCTGTTTGTGGTGATGACCTTGAAGTTTCAGATAAGCTGAACACCATGATTCATTTGACCCTGTGTTTTGATGAAGGGACTGGAAACCAGGTTATGACTGGAGGCTTTTTGACCGACAAACAAGCTGCATATGGGTAAGAACTTAGTTGATGATAAAAATCATGAATTGTTCATGTTAGTAGAATGCTGCCTCTCTCTATTATGGGCAACTTTCTGTGGCCCAAGTTCAAATTCTGAGTTGATTTATATCTGTGTAGGTGGTATTTCAAACTAAGTGAATGGGCCCATTTTGCATCCTATGACATTGGGTTGAACTCTGGATCAAGAGCATCACATATTGTGGTATCCTCTCTCTCTCTCTCCATTATGTGGTTGAGGTTTTGTAACACATGATGTAATCGTCATCCTACTTTTTGTTGTCCCTTGCACGTCAGCTTATTGTATTTTTCCTTCACAAGTTCTAAGAGGCCAAGATTGGTGAGGTGACTCTGAGGGAGAGGGTGCAAAGTACATATGCCTTGTTCCACATCTGAAAGGTGTGGGAGTAGCTTTATGAATGTGAGTTTTGGGCCTTTATTGTACAACATATTTTAGAATTCTGCGGGTCTAGGGCAAAGCAAAAAAATTTATACTACGTGGGTCCAAGGTGTTAGGTATCAAAGTTAGCAACAATCGGAAATTTGGGACGTGCCCCACACAATTATGTGAGGACCTAAATAGGGTGGGTTGTTGTGGCTTATGTCCAAGAGGCTAAGACCCCTGATGTTTAAGGCTGAGATGGATTAGGTGAGGGAAGCTGAGTGTGCCAAGTTCATGTACCTTGCCCCACACCGCTTGTGAAGTGTGTGTGAGGTGCTCTTTAAGTAAAACATATTTTAAAGCCAAATGATCTTAACCCAACGTGGACATTGACAAAGAAATGAAATAATTGATGAAGGCTGGATTCAAGCTCAGGTCTCTAGTACAAGTACCTTGAGACATTACCAGCCAGGTTGGCTGGCACCTTCGTTGCATGGTTAGAAGTTATATTAAAGCACTGTAGTGCTGGAGTTGCTTATTAGCCATTGTGTGCTTAAAGATGTATCATTCCATGGTTTGGATCTTGGTAGCTTAAAATCTGGACCGTGGACGAAATTATTCATCCTTTTAATTGTTCCCCCAGTTCCTTTTATGTCATATCGTTATTATTAGTGGTTGTGCTGGAAACATGTTTTTGTATATTTTATAGCAAATGAATTTCAAAAAACACTTGATTTAGTTGACTTAGATTAGGTAGTTAGCAGATAATATAGATAATGAGTATTCTTAAGCAGTTAACCAGTCCACCATAAAAGTTGGGAACGTCTCTATGGCTGTATTTCTTGTTTTTAATTCTCTAAATTTAAGAAGTAAGAAAGAAAAATAGGACATAAAGTTCTTCGTTAGGCAATCCTATCCTCACATCGCTTCTATCCATTTGGCAGTGCTTCTTGAGCTGGTAAATGCTCTTTTTGTTTTGTTTAGAAAATTATGTTCAGAGAATTATACTATTGGAATCGACTACTATGCTATGATTCAAAATTGCCTTTTTTTTGGTTTTTCAAAGATTACCTTTTTTTTCTCATAGAGTCAAGTTCATTGTGGGAGATGGAACCAAGGTTTTTAAAATCGGGATCCTATCCTGGATCGATGGGGGAGGTTATAGGATCGGGATCGTAGGATTAGATCGAGAATCGTAAAATTCTATCAACTGAGAAAATAAGACGAAAATTATATGTAGCAATAAAAAATTCTTAAAAACATGACTTGCACAAGACTAGTATCTATGAAAATAAAAATATTACGATAAAGATCAAACTTAAGGTATGATTAAAATTTGATAAACTACAATTTGGACATTAAAAAAATTTAAGATAAAAAACAAACTGTTAATCTTGTGAGGTCGTGTAAAGAGGAATAAAAGAATTCAAGTATTTTTATCGGTAATTTTTAGAGAAGAGATAAGGAGTAGAGATTAGAAAGTTGAAAGACTGTTGGATAATAACTTTTGGCTATTTGACATTAAAACAAAAAAACATAAAGAAATAAAAATAAAAGACCATTTGGCTATGATTATTCACTGTGAGAGAAGCTTAAATTTAACAATTACTTTTAACTTTTCATTAAGAGAGACGAACGAAAAAAGAAACAATTTAAGAAAATAAGCTTTTCTTATCCTTTGAAATTTCCCAATAGACTCACTAGTATATAAGACATTCACATTTGTATTGAGCACTTAACTACAAAAACTAAAAAGTGTGGATTGAATTGCTCGGTAACTAAATACACCTACCAAACAAACTCAACAACTTGGATCGGTAAAGTCGTAGTTTGGATTGAGATCCTAAGATCGTATAAGATTTAGATCGTGATTCATTAAGATTCTATGAATTTGGGATCCTACATGAGACTCGGATCGATTTGTTTATATTGGATCGTAGGATCTAGATCGGGATTTTGATAACCATGGATGGAATTAAAGTTCATTTTTGGGAGGATTTTTGAGTTGTGGAGTCTTGTTTATCTACTTTATGTCCTCGTCTTTAGCGTATCTCTTGTTGTCATTGTCATATGATTGTGTCAATGATTCAATCTTATTTTTGCCCAATTTATTGGAATTTTGGTTTTCGTAGAAGTCTTAATAATTGGGATTGCTGAGACTTGTTGGTTCTTATTCCTATGCTAAGTAGTGTTATCTTGACCCAAAATTCAGTTGATAGAAGGTGTTGGGTTGGTGATCCAAAGGGAGTCTTTCATGTAGTTCGTTCTTCAATTCTTTGATTGATGAACCTTTAATTCCATTTTTTCAACCATCATTGAAGATTTGGAAGACTAAAATGCCTTTAATAGTGAAAGTTAGTGCATGGATAATTGCTCATTATAAGATTAATACCAATGATGCTCTTCAAAAGGGGAGACCCAATAATTGCCTCCTACCATAATGGCGTGTTATGTATATAGGTGATAGTGAAAATGTCGATCATATTTTTTTGTATTGTCTTTTGGCACGATCTCTTTGGATTAAGCTATTTGGTGTTGTGGGAATGTGTTGGGTGGCACCAAGGTCCATGTCATCGATGCTTTGTTTGGATGATATGGATTTTGGTAGAGGTAGAAAAGGGAGGACCTTTTGGCGTTGTGCTTTCTTTGCTATTATGTGGGATTTTTTGGATAGAAATAAATGCAAGGATTTTTGAGGATAATGACGATAAGTTTGTAGGGATATGGAAAATATTGTGTTTTTTGACTTCTTTTTGGGCCTCAGTGACTAAAGAGGTTGAGGATATTCCTCTTTTTGTATTACTGCTAGCTGAAAAGCCTCAAGTGGATTATAGAGTGCTTTTCTTTGTGTTTCTATTAATTTATCATTGTGTTGGACGACTTGTCCACCTTTGATTTGGTTATCACTTTTGTATTACTTTTTCAACTTTTTTTTGTCGGTAAAGTCTTATTTCTTATCAAAAAAAAAAAATTGCTTTTAAACTTCAGATTTTTTTTTATTTGAACTGTCTTGCAGGGGGTTTATTTATCTTGTTAGATCACATCTCATTCATATCAAACAAATCTCCGTGAGATTTTGATGTCACGATCACTGTTTTTGATGGCCAGGTTTTTGATCGGAGGAAGAAGAGGCTAGTTGAGGAAATAATTGATGGCAAAATTGTTTTATCAATGAGAGCCATTTATCAATCTAAAATAGGGCTTGGCCTTATGGACAAAGGTATGGACTATGAATTTATTATATCAAGTCCAAATAATCCTTTTTTGGGAAAAAGATTGAGGTAATTGGTGATGATTATCTGCTCCTTTCTTCCTCACCTGCACCCCCCCTCCCTCTTTCTGATGTTTGGTATAACTCAATATAGTGGTTTTGCAATCAAAGGAGTCTTGTTTCTAAGGTTAAGTAGAATGTTGAACTTACATGAAACATTTTAATCATATTGTGAAATTTAATGACATATTTAACAATAGTTAGAAACCTATATGTCTCCTGTAAACCTGCTTGTTTATATTGAGTCTGCTGGTCTGTTTATATGTTTTTTTTTTGGGTCTGAATGCAAAGGTCCATTTATATGTAGGGGCAAAGGAAATCTTACAGAGCCTCTCAGAAAAACAGGGCAGGAAAATGGATTCCCTTGAATCCGCTCAAGATATACCAAAGTTCCTTGAATCGTTTAAGGCATGTATCTGTTTGTAGTTAATGTGACATTGCGATTTTGTTGGCCTAATTATTAATTAAATGAAATAGGTGTTCACTGGATTGATTGAGGTTTAAAAATGTGTCATCATGAACATGAATCTTGAAAGTAATTTGCAAATATGGTTTGTGGAGCCAAGTTGAAGTGGTTGGAATTCCCAACAAATTTTTTTGGTGTTGCATGTATCTCTACGTACATAAGTTCATTTGAGTTTAATAGGATGTCTTTTACTTGCTCCTGTCCTGTCCTTACTGCATGCCTCAGGCCTTCAATGTAATCAAAAAATGATAACTGTGCTGGGTGGTTATCTATCCTTCCGTGTATTTTGTGTGTGCATGCATGTCTCGGTTCCAGTTAGTTATTTTTTTTGATAGACTTTCATTTTGAATCATTTGATACATTCATGCTTGTTTTAATGTGGCCTTGTGGCATTGTTGGCATAGTTACAATTTAATGGAAATGTGTTCATTGGATTGATTGAAGTTTATAGAAGTGTCATCATGAACATGAATCTTGAAAGTTCCAGGCAAAACTTTGGTGATGCATATATTTCTGCGTACATTTGTTTGTTGAGTGTTAATAGGATATGCTTTACTTGCTATTGTTCTCTCCCTCCTGCATGCCTCAGGCCTTCAATGAAATCAGAAAATGATAAAGATGCTGGGCTCTAATTGTGTGTTTTCAAGTATTTTGTATGCGCATACATGTTTCGGTTTCAGTTCATAATTGAAGTCTCCGTATTTTCCATTTTTCTTGATTTCCTTTTGTTTTGTATCTTTAGATACATTTATGCTTGTTTTATAGTGCTAAAATCAGATTTTATTATAATATATGTTCCTTTATCTGATTCAATTTAGTTATCATCTTCCAGGATCAAATTAATTTGGCTGAAGTTAAGTACCCTTTGGAGCATTTTAAGGTAGGTCAAGACTCTGACACTTTTTTGATGGTCATTCAAATGATGCACATGACACAGTAACTGATTTAAATACTTATGTACACTCATTAGGTGGCACATTTTTTTTTCTAGTTGATTCTTTTATTCAATAATAGCCCAAGTCTTTTACTGACATTCTTTTTAGTGTAAAACAACTTCGCTCACGAGTAGTATTTGTCAGTTGAACCTTTAACAATTATCTCCTTTCTTTTTTGCTGTAATTATCTTATAGTTCTTGCATCCAATTCTATGGCAGTGCCATGCACAATATTGTGTCGGCTGTGAATTTGAACTCATTGTGTCAGACCCTCTTAGCTTCTCTTTATTGACTCTATTTATGAGAAAATTAAAAGAATGTTTGCTGTAGCAGCTTAGTTTTATGGTGTACTACTTCTGAATTCATGTGTGATCACTGCATACCCATCGAAAGAATTTTTTTGTGCACTATAAGACAAGATCATAGTTCAGAATGCGAGATTCAATCACTCTTGTACATTTTATTGTTAGTTCTTTTCCCGCAGGCATTTTTTCATGCCTGCATGTGTTAAAACAGCAAATCACCATCCTGACTGAGTCATGAAGCAATAGGCAATGCGCCAAGTGCCAAGGCCAGTTGGTTTTCTAGGCTTCAATTCACATGCGGCTGCGAAAGATGAGGCAGATGTTGTGCCCATTCCCAAGGTCGCCATGTGGTCACTGGTCACCATGAGGCAAACTAACAGTTCATCACATCCAGTTTGCAATGACATTTTTGTTCTCCCCACAAGTTGGGGGTGGAATATATGTTTGTGGTTTAACCACATCTTGCAAGCTTTATGTTCGCACAAAAGTAATAAAGCAGAGAGATACAACATACATGAACTACTCTTTAGAAACAGATCAGCTTCACAAGAAGCAGAAGATATGTTCCTACATATCTACAGAATGTGTTCCTACATGGTATAAAATTTTATTTTTAAAATTATTTATTAATTGCAACTGACAATGAACCAAACTTTTGTTTAATGAAGCAAACTCGGTATAATAGATTCTAACAAAAGATATAACCTTGGAATATAAGATGATGAGAGATGATGGCTGCAGCTGGCTCTAAAGAGTTGGTATAAGGTTTTCTTGAATTGAAGTTTGCTCTACAAACTGTCAGAAAGTACATGATAAGGTACCACTTAGATAGCGGGAAGCAATGGAATTTAGTATCTTGTTTTGTGCCCAAAATTGCCTTTGGAACAGAAACATAAAAGTAAAGTGAAAAGCAATGTACAAGTATCTTCAAAATTTTGCGTCAATCAGTTGAGCTGAATGAGACTATAAATGGGCCTTTACTTGTCTTGGATCAACTCTTTGGTTGGAGGTAATAGGTGAAAATGTTTAATACAATCAGATTTTCAAAATGATATAAAGGCTCATGCACTTCCTATATCTGTGTGGTTCTTAGAATGAATGCCTGGGGTCATTGATTAAACTTACTACTATAAAGATTAAAATATGATTCTATTGTGATTTGATTTTTCTTATTTGAATTCACATTAGGATTAACCTTACCTGGCCAAGGTCTTGAGGTATGGTGTCATCAAATCATTTGGGGAAGTGTATTTAAGACAGAAATTATATTCTTAGGCATTTTTGCAATTGATTTATCCAAATTATTCTTGTTTTAACTCAGTAGTGGATGCATGCATGCAACAGGAGGAAGGGGCTATCGTAGGCTTACATTAGGGATCAGTCTTGAGCCCTCATCTCTTTTCCCCCAGTTTTAGATAAATTGACTACACACACCCCTACTCATGGTGTACATTTTGTGAAGAAAACACTATTTTTGAAAGTATTACCTTCTTCATTTTGAGTAATTCCATTGGTCTTTCTGTTTAATTCCATTTGTTGTTTAGAGTTCTTGATTACCTATAACGAATGGTTTCCTTTTTTATTTTTTCCTCACTCTGGTGATGATTGATAAGATGCCCTAAACATTGCCAGTCTCTTAATCCTTCAATCAATTGTGTCCAATCAGATTTTCTTTTCCATGAGAATTGGCATAACTTAACCTTTTGCACCTTAATCAACTGTGTTTTCTGGTTTCTAATTGTAGAGGGAGTGCTGTTTGAGTTCCATTTTTGTAATGCAGATATGTTCTTGTTCGGCATCTAGTAATTTCATTGAGCATTGTGCCATCGGTTTTTTATGCTTTAGATTTACCAACATTGTTTTGATGAATGTTTACCATTATTGTCCTTCAGTAGATTGGATTCATACTTATTTCTATTTACAGACATTTAACGAATTCTTTATAAGAGAGTTAAAGCCTGGTTCGAGACCAATTGCCTTCAGCGAATGTGATGACGTTGCCGTGTGTGCTGCTGATTGTCGTCTGATGGCATTTAAGACTGCTGAAGATAGTCTAAGATTTTGGATCAAGGTATGAACTACTTGCTCACAGAATATTCACACTAGGAAGCAAAGTTTAGTTAGAGCTGATTGGTTATGTTTCTTAGGATTAAAAACATTTGTGTTGGCTCACAAAGAATATGGAAGAAACACGTTTTAGTTAATAAATTCTAGAGTCAAAGTAAAAGCAGTTTTTTGGGTATGGACATCTTTATCATGATGGATGTTTATGGCATTTGTAACAAATAAAAAGCAAAGCCTAGTGGTGAGGAAGAATTGACAGGTGATAACGAGCACATACCTACATGGTGAACCTCAATCCACTGGCAAGCTCTGAATTCTTTTTTGTTCCTTTGTTGGTTTTTTCTTTCTTCATTACTTTTCCCTTCTTGCTTTTATCCCTACTGTGTTAGCACACATAAAACCTAAGAGAAATTCCTTGACAAGGAGAATAACTTACTGTTCTTTATTTGCTATGAAATTTATTATGTTATCTTATCCTTTGGGATCTTACCTTGTTATTGCAAGGGTCGAAAGTTCTCTATTGAAGGTCTTTTGGGGAAAGAAGTGTGCACCAGTGCATTCAGTAATGGAACCTTGGTGATATTTCGGTTGGCGCCACAGGTACATGGTGGTGCAATTTCTCTCTTTTTTTAGTATAATAAAAGTTGATCTTCATTATCTGATCTAAATTATCTGCCATTCCCACTTTGAAGTTCATTATAATGGCATTATTGCAGGATTACCATCGCTTCCATTTCCCAGTTTCTGGAACTGTTGAGAAATTTTTAGATATACCTGGATGCTTATACACGGTATTTGAAAATATATTTCTTTTAGCAGTTTTCTATATCTTTAATGTCTCCTGATTGCTGTTCTATTTTTCGTTTTCAAGGTCAATCCTATTGCTGTGAATAGCAAGTATTGTAATGTGTTCACTGAGAATAAGCGGGCTGTAGCTATTATTTCGACAAAAGATTTTGGAAAGGTATGCCATTGTCATTATTTGACTCCAGTTTTCACCTTATACTTTTTTGCATGAAAGCCGAACTATATGGCTGTCTTGGCACATCATGTTTCAAGGGCTAATGATTTTGGTAGTCTACATACAACCTACCGCTTCCTACATGGTAATGGTGACAGCTTATAGGGCCATAAGTTTTGTCATTGTTTTGTTTCGATTCAACAATATTGATTTTCGCATCATCACCTTCTGCCTATGTCACCCTCATTTGATCTATAGAATGGAGGTTTTTCTTCCTCTCAACTAGTCCCAATAAATATGTAATGAGCTGTTAAGCATGATGTTTAACTCCTTTTCTCTTTAATCCTTTCTGTAAGTTTGGGAGCTCATTCTCCATCAGCACTATAATTGGTTTCTCTGCTATTTATGTTTTTGGCCGTAACTCAGGAAGCATTTGTTTACCCAATTGTTGTACCCTTCTGTTTATGGGGGAAAAACTACTATATTGGTGTTTCTTCTGTTCTTTGATATGGCATGGGATGGTTGGTGGCTTAGGCTATTTACCCTGTCATCAATGAGGGAAAATTGTTATGTTTAGCTGAGAACTTAGAAATTGGAAAGCTATACCTCACACCATGCTTACACAAATAATAAAAAATCAGCCATTAGGCTGTTATGAAGTTGTAGTCCATTCAATCTGGGCGGCTGAGAGGCTGATGAGTCATGGAGCTAATTTTGTCTTTTCCTGGCAAGAAAGTGGTGCCCTTAAAGTCAACGTCATGCTCTCTATTAATACTTTAAGCAATGGGTCCTGTATGTTAATACAAATTCTTGCTTCTCAATTACAAATCATGCTCAAATAACAATTCTGTTGTTCCTTGTACATACATAATCAGCGTAGTGCCTTTCTACATTCATAGGGTAACCTTTTACTAAATGAATGCAGGTAGCATTTGTTGCAATTGGAGCAACAATGGTTGGCAGCATCACCTTCTCTAAGCAACAGGGTGACTATGTCAAGAAGGGAGATGAGGTTCATAATCTATGACATGAATTGTTTACTTTTCCTTTTCCTATGTTGTTTCTCTTTACTTTCTGATGGGGCATTCTACTCTCCTTTCAATTTCCAGTTTGGATATTTCTCATTTGGCGGAAGCACTGTAATTTGTGTCTTCGAAAAGGTTAGTCTTCAAGTACTTGTGTTTGATAGAAAAACTTGACTATACAAAATTTCTTACTTTTCTCTGGTTAAGTCTTGAAAGAATATAACATCAGGGGCTTGAGTGGTTCACATTTTTCAGGGTTGATATATGTCACTGCAGATGCTTTAATATTTCTTGTGAAAAGCATACCCTAATAAAAAACTATCATCTTGTTTCACATGGACTCGAGAGGAGTTTATTAGTTTATCAGTGTTGGGGAGTCCTATAATCCATGCACAGACAAAATTATGCCAAGAAATTATGTAATCTTAACCAGTCATTTCCCAGTTGAATTAGGAGTTTCAGCATGATGTGGCATCCCAAGTGTTCCTGGAACATTTGTATATGGGTTGGCAACAATGTGCTGTTAGCATTTTATTAGAAATTAGCATGACATAACTTCCATGTGGCATAGATCTGAGTTCCTTGCTTTACTCTCTCACCATAAACGGAAAATGTTTTTGTACTTGCCTACTGGTCCTCTGAATAAGATGTTTTTGACCAATTTATTTTTACTCCTCTTTTTTGGTTTTTTTTTTTTGGGGGGGAGGGGGGGGGGGGAGCATTGAAGTGCTGGAAGACTGAGAGGAAAGGACAGGCATAAGAAAACGGGAAGAAGTCTACTATGTCAATTCTTCGTGTAGGACTCCTGTTGAAGCATATTAAATGCTATCTGGATTGTAAACCAAATCTTTTATGGACCTTTATCTCACATTGGCTGATTGTTTATATTTTATGCGACTTTTTCCTGAAAAATTGTGCCCACAAGCAGAAACTCATGTCCAATTTTGTCATTCCAGCCATAGTTGTCTCATGGAACTGTGAGTTTGTGCTTGTGTCTACAGAAAAATCTGCACAAAATAAAATAGAAATCTGCCAATTCGTGTCAAAGATTGGTTGCTGACTGGCCTGGTGTTTAATAAGGTTTAAACTAATTTAGTTTATGATATTTTGAAACTCTCCCTCCGACAATATATGCCTCTCCCTACCTCTTTCACTTTAGGCCCACTTCCCATTGAAACTGGTCACAATTAATCGCTGTAGAACAATATGAGAAGTGCTAATATCTATGTTTCTGAAAATAACTTTTCTGCTATTAATCAAGGGCTATCAATATAATTTGGTCATTTTGTATCATTTTTATTTGTACTTATGAGTGACTCGGTTCTAGGTAAATTACCATCTCCTCTAAAAGTTTGAGCAAGTAAAACGTGTGTAACATAAATATTTACCCACTTCAACCTCTCCTTCACGTGCAGGCTAAAACTTGGGCCGAGCACATGCAAGTCGTATAATTATTAGGACAGGAACTTCATCTACCATGTTAGAGTCATTCTACCCAATACCGATTGACAATGGGTGGAGGGGTCCCTCAACAATAAAAATCAGGGTTGGTTTGGGTGGTCCTAATCTTTCGATATATGATGTAAGCTCTTTTGACACACTCCCTCATGTGCAACCTTTCTGGCACTTGAACTAGCAAAACATATCGAAGGATAAACATTCACAATTGAAATTAGAGACGTGATCCACACATGAACCTTTGAATAACCAGCTCTGATACCAAGTTAAATTACCATTTCATCTAAATTCATAAACTATTAGACTGAGTTCCATAAATATTAAATCCTTCAACAGTTCAAAAAAATGCTGCCAATTGTTTGTCACCTAAAGGATTTTTTATTTATGCACTCTCTAAGTCACACAATTCGTGTAAAAAGATCTGTAATCATATTCTGCCCACTAATTGGCGAATTGCACGTGGAGAAGCACATAATTCTTGGAGTCAAAACTTGCCAGTTGCCATTTATATTTTAGGTACGTGAGTTCTTGCTATTGGCTCTACTATTTTTGTTCAAGAGAGCTGGAGACATCATGGTCAAGGTTTTCTGCCAGATTAGGTACTTATGAAGTACGGATACGTCAATCGGAGTGATGTATCCGAATCCAATATGTATCGGATGCCAATACTCGTTGGATACTTGCAGATACGTATCGGATATTTTTTGCTCGTATTGAATGATTAATAACTATATTTATCATTGTTGGATATTGGTCGGATACACATGTCTCCACGGTGAATACATTCATCTTATACTTAGTAAGGTGAGTTGTTTAGAAACCATGAATCATACAAATGGAAATTCCTCATTCCAAGATGTTCATTTGGATGTGGATCACATATATCACAAGATTTGGCAATTATTTACAATTTGGTTACCTTGAGTAATGAGTTTTTACATAGTAATGCTACATAGTTGTTTTTCCGCTTTCACTCTGTTTGACTTGGTGCACATGATAATAAGTACACCGACACCATTTTGAACATTTTCCAAGATGTATTACAATAGGAGTGCACTTGTTCTTCGTAAATGACAAACTCCCATATTTAAGGCCAAGCAGTTCAATTTCCCTTTCTCTTTTTAGAAGCATATTTGTTCGGAGACAGAGTTAGAACCCTAAAACCACTTCATAGTTCGCCCTGTAGGTCAGGAAATTTAAGTGTTGACAGATCCATATGGCTTAGATTGTATAGGGCCATTCATAGCTGATTATTAGTTCTGTAGGTTCATTAGAATTCTTTGACACTGTCTATTGATTTAGAATAATCTGCACATATTAGAAAGAAGTACATACACTTTTAGCCTTTTGACTCTTTGTATTTGTTATGATTTTATATATGAACAGCATAAAAAAAGGTTTGTTGGGATAAGAATGAAGCACATTATAAATCTCTTGAAATTTGGCATATTTAATAAAATATTCCTTTTCCGTCATACCAAAGCCTTTCATTGAAAAACACTTTATTTAATAAGAAAAAAAAAACCATATTCTTGTTCTTATTCTCTTTCTTAATGATGTAGTCTCCAATTAACTAGCTAGTTATTTTGCGGAGTGGGTTACATGAAATGAATTTTTTTTTAAAGACTTCTGTTAGCCTAATCCATGAGGAGATTCTGCAGGATACAATAGAGATAGATGAGGACCTCTTGGCCAATAGTGAAAGATCACTGGAGACCTTAGTGTCAGTTGGTATGAAATTGGGCGTCTCCACCAAGAAACTGGCCGAAACTGGGTTGCCGAATCTGGAAAGTTGTGTCTTAGGATCTTAAGAAGAATCAATTCCATGTGTACCACCAATGCAATCGTAAACTTCATGTAAGTCCATACATACCTATGTTAGTGTTCAATATTTCTTGTGCATAAATTAGTTTAGTTGTCAATGATGAAAGAGATTACAGTTGCCTTGGTCATTTGTAAAGACGTCATCCTCACAATGCTAGTGTTTACTTTCTTTCTGAGGCGTAGTTGTGTTGGCTGTCAATGGTGAGAAGAGTTGCTGGCTTTCGTTGTAGGTTTTGAAGGTATATGATAAATTGATAATCATGATTTGCCATTATCTGTATGATAACATTCTCACTTTGATTAATGTATCTGTAACTTAATATTCTAAGTATCATAAGTTTTGTATGAACTAGGTTAGACTTGAGAAAATATTCAATGTAACGGTGATAACACGTCATCATTCACATGTGATATCACCATTACACTGGATATTTACTCGTTTGACTTCATGGTTTATAAATGTTGAATATGATATATTGCTAGCTAAAATATCGGTGTAAAGTTACAAATCGAATTACCCTGCAGCCACTTCATGAGCATTCATTTTGCATAATCATAACGCTTATCTACCATCAGAAATTTGGTATACTATTATGCTATGCTGTATAAGTAAACCAGATTTAGCTTTCCCTTGTTAGGCCCCTTGCTGCTTCTGTAATACCTTATACACAAGTGCAATTTAGTGCACAAGGCTCTTGTTTGCCACTTCGGGAATTGGGGAGGGTCAAATGCCATGGCCTTATCCTCACATGTTGAGAGGTATTTTTTTTTTTTTTTGCTATTGAAATAAGGGGTAGGGACAAGAAAGAGTGTTCAACAACCACCTCATTAGGCCCGGTAAGATCATAAGATTCATGACTGTGCCTGAAACACTTATCGGAACCAAACCTAGTTAGGCTAGCATGTGGTCAATTACTGAGTCCTAATGTTCTCTAAGACATCATGTCTGGCATTAAAAAATGTTAAAAATGAAAAAATATTATCAAAAATATGCTTGATACTATTGAATACAAGTCATCCCTAGATGTAGTCTTGTGCACTAAATCCCATCATAAGTTTTAAATGTGTTTCAACTCCCCTCAGTAAAATCTTAAAATTGATTGATTTTGAAGAAATAATCTAAAAAGTATAGTCAGTGCACGAGGCTCTCGTGACTCCTACTTATATGCATTTCCTCTTTTGCTTGCGGCATTCACTGTGCACTAATATACTCCAGACCTCACATTGTATGGATAGGGGTTTGGTTGTACGTTTGCTAGCCTTACCTGGCCTTGCATCCCATCTCTTGCATATTGTTGCCACATTAGCTGTTCCTCCACCAGCAGTCTCTGCTTCGTCTCCATATCAGTCATCTGCACGTAAGACGGTGGTGCCACGGCAAGGGAGGCTGCAAATGGGTCAGCACCCGGTGTTGCAGCAGCTCCACCATCAGCTGCTGGAGGTGCTGGCAATGCAAGCATTGCCGGCCTTCCAGCTGACCCCAGGGCAACACTGCTAGCACTTCCAGTAGCTAGATAACCCGAGGAAGCCGCAGCTGCCGCTGTCACTCCTTGTTGATACATTCCATCCAGCATCAAGGTATCAGATCCTTCGGGAAGCACTGCCTTCTGATTCGACAAATGGCTTGCTGATTGAACCAGTGCCGTCTCCCAATCGTCGGATTCATTGAAGGCTTCCCATGCGGATGTACCCGTTACAGTGGTTGCCGCTGCAAAACCGTCATCGAATAAAGCTAAAGCCAGTTTCTCTCCATGTTCTTCGGTCGTCGGTGCATCTTCACCCAAGTTCAACAAATCACCTTGTTGGGTCTTATTTTCCTCCTCCTTTGTCTCTTCAACATCCACCTCTTCTTTCTCAGTTTCATCACTAAATCCTTCTGGTGGTGGTAATGCTTTGATTGCATTCATGTCCTCTTCGGGCTCTGCCTCTTCCACGGTCTCTTCAGCGGGTTCGTTCATCAGTTCAACGTTCTTCACCCTCTGGTTTTGCGCCATCACCGACTTCTCTCGTATAAACTCATCCATAAGATCAAGTTTCTGCTGTGTGATTTTCTCAACCTCAGGATATTCGGATGCGCGTGCAATTCCGACAATCTTGCACCAGTCGTAAAACATGTCAAGCTCATCATACTGCTTCGTAAAGCGACAGAAAATGCCGTGAACTTTGACAGAGTCGGAGATGTTAAGCTCCATGAATCGATCAATTAGTATGCCCATTATTTCTGTTATATCATAATATAGCTGGAAACTTTCTTTCACTATAGGGTAGAGAGCCACACACACAACCCTGTTGTTCTTTGCTGCACCTATTCAAAGATTGAGGGTTAGAAATAAACCAAGTAGAAGAATAGTATATACAAATAGATTTCGAAAATTAGAAGCGTCAGTTCTCGATAAGATACGATATGAAATTAGTGAGCTAATAATTAGGCCGGGAATCATTGTAAATAATTTCTACTTAGTTTCATAGAATCTCGACCAAGTGAATGTTTTGTTTGTGGAAAGAGTATGAGTGGTGGGTTTGGTTGAGTGACGACGACCCTGATTGTGGATTTTTGATTCATGAGTTATGTGTAAATTTGAAAATGATAGGATTTTTGATTCTTGAGTTATGTGTAAATTTGAAAATGATACGGCTAACAAATTAGATCAAATCAAAGATAAGCTAGTAGTGTTTGGATCAGTTTACACATACCTTGATTAATCTCTTCTTCAGTTCGCAGTGGTGGAGTCACACGAGGATCAGGAGGGGCACGGGCCCACCCTAATGTTTTTTAAAAAAATATTATTTGTGTATATTTAAAATTATTATAAATATATTTAAGTTTGTCCACTTTATTATTTTTTATTCTATCAATTAGTATAATCATATAACTAAATAATTATGAACTTTTGGATATGCTTTGAATTCTTTATGGATACATCTAGACAAATCTTTGATATGTGAGACTCATTTTTAAAATTATTTAGATATTATGAAAACTAGGGTAAATAACATAATGAACTGATCAATGACTAATAGCTTGATCGGTTACATAGAGAAAGATTATAGTATCTTTTATGTAGTTAATCTCATTTGTTATGAATGATTGTAATTAACCTATTTTTTTGTTTTTATTTGTATACGCCATATTTATCGACGTTTGATAATTTTTATATTTTATAAATCTTTAAGTATTAAATACAATGCTGTAAATTTAAATACATTATTTTATTTTTATTGATTGGAAGAAAAATATTTAAATTTTGTTAGTAATATATTCACTCTAGACAGAATTTCTGACTTTGTCATTGCCAATCCGGTCAAAGGTAGGTGTTTTATGTTGGGATTAAGATATTTATAAAAAAATATTTCTCTCAAAAATTGTCAGGATTAAAACTCAGAACGTCTAGATTTAGAATCCATCCGGCCAGCAACCAGTGCATGCATGCGTGGTAGTACAAAAGCAAACCTGTTGGTCGACAAGCCAAAAACCTCTCTAGGAGTTGCATCAAATGCCGAATTCTTGAAAATATTTGTTCATTCTTCATTTCCCTCACCGGTGTGGCTCTCACAACAAGGGCAGCTGAACCGATCTCTTCGGCGTCCTCATACGAAAACGCGCTACGTTTTCCCCACCGGCCTTGCATCTTGAACTCAAGCTGTTCATCAATATACAAAGCATAAGTACGCACAAATGCAGAGAAATCCCAGGAATTTGATCGAGAAGTGTCTCGAAAATCCGACATGTTGAGAAGGCGGGTCCCACGCCTTGTCGCGAAGAAAATCTCTTGCTTGTATGTTGGATCACCGTCGGTGAGCAGTCGTTGGATCAACATTAGGGTTTTCAGTGCCACAATCCAATTCTTAGTCTTGTTGAGACGTTTGGAGATGGTTCTCACACATGCACTTAAAAACCACGAGAGTAGCATGTCCAGCCTACTATTTCTTGAATGTACCTCTCATCGGCCGGGTATTCTTTGTGCCGGGTGGCCTTGAGAATGGCTACGTCAAGGTCGGATAGTGAGCTACTACTACTCACTTTGGCTAGGCCAATGCTAGTCTGATCCTTGACCACCCCGATTGCTTTTTTAAATTTGCTTGGAGCCATAGATTTGGAACTAGTATTTTGTGGATGATGCATAGTCTCGGCCTGAAAAGAGTTAGTTCAAAACTAATTGGTTAAGAAGCAGAAGACATTCTTGTTACGTGCATGCATGCATTTGCATGTCTCGATTCATATATATATATATACTGTGATGTTGGCCAAGATATCTTATCAAATTTTTCATCCCAAGTAATGTGACACAGTTTCACCATCAAATAAGTAAGTCTCATTAATATTTAATGATAGAGATTGTTCCACATTAATTGGGATATAAAACTTGTTAAAAAACTTTGTAAACATAACTTTGCTGATATATATACACATACATACACACATAGACATATCATTTGATATATTCAAATAGATACGATTGCTGAACTGGCTACGTGAAGTCATTTTGCAAAAATCTGCGTTCATATCGATCTAAGTGCTCTCCTTATTCCCTGGATTCGAATTGGTAAGCATCAGTACATTTTTTATGAAAATGTGATGTGAAATACATAGAAGTTGCATTCATCTTAGCAAAAACCTCTTCTAGAGTATGTTTTTAAATGAACATATCGTTTGAAAACGAGGGTAGGGTCTCTAAGAATTTAATCTATAAGAAATATCTTATGAAACCCTACTTGATTGCAACACACGGATACATATACAATCAAATATGTACATATATTGTAGAGAGAGAGAGAGAGAGATAGAATGCTTATTTTTTTCTTCCTTTTATAGAAAAACTTTGGTGTTGAATGTGCTTCCTCACCAAAAAAGGGAAACTCTCAAATATTTGTAGCTCTTTAACTTATTATATTTGGCGTCAGCGAACGTTCAAGTGAAAAGAACGAAGAAAAGGGAGAAGAAGAGAAGAAAATGGGTTGTGTCTATATCTCTTGTTTTTCCTCTCTTCTTCTTTATCTTTCTCTGTCTTTCTCACCCTGTTTCTTTTCCGTTGTTATGTGACTGGTTCAATCACCCATTGAAAGTCCTTCATTGTAGCATAATTAAACGGAAATCCAATGGATGTGTTTTATGGGTTAATGACTCCTAATTTGCAAGAGACTTGATTCTCTCTCCTAGATGGCAAGTTTTCCTTCACTTGTGCTGTGTTTAATCCTGAGTGGTTTTTAATTTGTAATGTCAACCAAAGGCTTAAAAAGAGAAATGTTATTTTACTCGGATCAAAACCTGAATCTTTCATCTTATAAACGCGTGTGTAGAGATTTGAGTTTTAATTTAGATAGCATAGTAGTTCTCGACTTAAAATAGCAAACTATAAAATCATGACAGTTTTATCCTAATTTTTTAGAGTGAGTTACAGTAGTACGCCTTCATGTTTAGTGCAAATGCACTCTGTACCCCTGTAGTTTTAGAAATTACATTCAAACCCTTGAGGTTTGAGCTCAACTTGCAGTTAACCCCTTTGACTAGCCAAATTTTAAATCACTATTGGGACACAATGCATTATGACCAATGAAGTGATAGAGAATGCATTTAATGATGGGACTCATTACATCATTATATGCATTCTACTATCATTCCATTGGTCACAATTTTTTATATTTCTAAATTATGTCTCAATAATATTACTCATTTTAAATATTTCTTAATAAAACACACATTTTACCTTTATACAAGTTTAAAAATAAAAATTGAATTTTGTATATAAATAACATGAAGTTTTTGAAAAAGAGAAAAGATAAATAACTGTCTTTTAATTTCCCCTCTTCACAATAGAGAACAATTTTATTTCAATTCTAAAGGTAGTAAAAATAATGAGCTGTAAACTCAGACGTTTCAAATTTGAATCTTGACAACTCTTTAGAGTTAAGTCATGAAAAATTTATTCCTCATGAATAACTTAATTCTGATGTGGATGATCTGCCTTTGACTGGACCGGAGAGAAGATTAGTTAAAATGCACGTAAGCTGGTCTGGATACTCTTAGCCATTAAACCAAAAAAAAAAAAAAATTTATATTTGCTCAGATTGCAGAATAAAAGTAGCACATGTACACTGGATTTCGATCATTCATTATTAGATTATTAGTTATTTCAATTATAGATCATCCATTGTGTGGTGAAGATTATTCAATACTAGTAATTTTTCGTGCCTAAATGCATGAGATAACAAAAAAATAAATTAAAACTTAAAGAATATTACATTATCTCGAGACACTTTGCAATCTAAAACAAACCGTTAATTTGAAATAATTTTTACTTCATTTGCTTTAATATAATAAATTGAAATCAAGTTAATCTCTAATATTTTTTAGAAATTTCGACAAAATTTCTTTTAAAAATAGGAACTTAGAAAAATCTAAATCTGTCTACAGAATTTACAATCGTATATAACAATTATCATAATACACCATACCACCATAATCACCAATACATATCCAACCACCATAACAAACATCATTTCATACCCAAAATAACATTTATAGCATAATAACAAAAAGAGACAAAAAAAATCAAGACTTCTATGACTATTTAAGCTCCATTTTCGCACTGACTCCATAGCATTTCACATAATATCAACACCTGCATGATTAAAAACATCACCTAAAACAACTCCACATTAAGATTTGCCAAATGAAAAGTTATCCGATTTCAATATTAAGTTACTTAAAATACCAAAACTATGCAACAAATAATATAATTTACTATAACTAAAATCAAATGTAAAGGTCGCAACAAAAAAATCAACAGATTCTGTATTCTCATGTTAAGTTAAGTTTTCGACAACGTGATTCAAGGTTTAATGCGATCAATACGAAGAATGTAAAATTCATAAAGTTCGACTATGCTTAGAAGACAATACTAGGTCTAAGGGTGATGAAGGTAATTCTACCAGTAAAAAAAATGAGGGTTCAAGTAAGAACCCTTTGACCCAACTCTGTACATAGTCATGTAACCCAAATTCTCGTCAATAACATATTAAAAATATTTGTAAACCACAACTTGAAAAGAGACTCCCTTCTTATTAAAAAAAAAGTCTGTCAAGTGACCACACCAATAACCATTTGACCAAAATCAATCACAAATGCCCCTTCACAATAATAGTGTTTAATCATTTCTTGGAACCCTACCGATTTTACATTGGAAAAATGTACTTTAATCCATTACATCCAACGCTTAGATAATTTGGAAAGCAACCAACGTAAAACTATAAATAGATAAGAGTTAGTAAATTGAAAGCACAATTAATTTACCATGTATTTGCATCAACTGATTTCATAGCAACGCTAAAAAACACGACAAAAAAATTCCAAAGAAAAAAAAAAGTATTCACTCACGAATCTATATACGCAATTCACATCGAACTTTTCAACTGGAAGAAAGTTTAAAGCACAATTTACAATGAGGACCAAATTCAACAAATCACACATTATCATCATAGCATAGTTTTACAATGTGTCCTATATTTCCAAGCCAAAAAATTAAAGTCCATTTTCACCAATTCTCTCTCAATAACCAAACTATGATCATGTGCTAATCAAGTAACACTATTGTGTCAAAAATAATTAGACACATTCAATCATAACCTAATCTTACTTTTTTTCTGAATGATAACTCAATCTTAGCTATTCTACAAAACAATGATGCCTAAAATTCTAACAACATAATTAAACTCAAAAACATAAAACAAACCAACCACAATAATAATCAATTGTGTGTGTGTGAGAGAGAGAGAGATGATGAAACTGAAAACTGAGTGGAGATAAGAGAAGGGATATAAATACCTTTTATACCAAATAATGCCCACAAACTCATGTGTTTCATTACAAATATAATGCGTACTCTTGAAAAGTCTCTTCTATGGCAATACAATCCACTTCACAATGAGAAAATGACCATAATCTATAGATTGTGAATTAATATTCTTAACTGGTGGATCTCATATGTCAAGTGATAAATGAAACAAATTAAAGAAAGATGTTATTGTTAAGTTGCAAGATGATGTATAGACCTTATAGAGTGTGATACATTCATAGCAACACTAAAATAAGAGCACGTACATTTGGATTAATGAACGACTTGAAATTTTGGAGTAACGAAGTTAAAAAGGAGCCACCAATTATACCTGGATGGGTGCATTTCTTTGTCGTTGCTTTGATCACAAAAAGAGAACCCGCCCAATTTAAACGATAAGTAGAAGACAGAACTACCAATTTCTACAAATATTTCTTTTGTCAACCATTGCAAGATCATTTGTTTAAGCAAATATCATGTTTTCTTTTGATGTTTTCAGACTCATATCATTTCTAACCAAAAGATCCAATACCCATAAGCCATAACTACAACATGCTTTTCTAATTCAAAAATACAATTACTAAATCTCAACTACAAACCTAGTTTCATAGCACATACCAGATATAATTTCAGACCATATCTCAAATTTCAAACCTAAATCTCAATAATCCTTGGGCCTCTGGCTTCAAAGTAAATAAAGAATTACTTCCAAATCCACCCTGCAACTAAGGAATTGCTTCCAAGTGAAAAAAAAAAAGTAAAAAGGATTGAACGAACTACAAAAAGAAAAACAAACTCAATATGGGTCATTTAGCTTCTATATATACCCTACAATAAAATGTGAAGGCAGGGGCTTTGCCATTGTTTTGGTTCGAAGAAATGCAGTAATTATAGAATGCATCGAAACATAAAGACAACTAACGTAAATAAGATACTTGATCACTTATGTGAGCTTATTAGGTGCACCTCCTATGTAATTTACTCACTAATCTACTTTATTGAAATAAAAAATGCAACTAGCTTAGCATAAAAGAACTAAGATACTCAACAATATGAGTGCACAAATGCTAGAGTAACAATGAAGCTTATGCTCTTGCAAACCCCAAATGAATCACAGCTATTTTAACATATTCCAGATTTACGTAAACAAAGGATGAACAAACTTATCAAGTGAAACACCAATTCCCAACAAAAGAAAAACATGGTAGACCCTCTCAACTAAGAAGTCATAATTAAACATCTTGAAAAACTTGAATTAGAGTAAATTCCTGAATTTGGATATTAGGCGTTTTAATGGCGTGGCAAGTCATCAAATTCGACCACTCCTTACATCTATCCAAGCAAAATCAGACCAAAATCCATCAATTTAAAGAAATTATTAAAACTTATGGTCATACCTCACTTCATATTTCTCATCAGATTTTCAGAGTTGTTGGTCACTATTAGATGTTGTGCTTTCTTCACTGCAATAACTTACAAAACCTAAATATAAGATTTTATGAAACTCTAAACAAATTCACAATTCAAGAAAAATGCCCACTTTCATGACTTAAAATGACCACTTTCCTTTTTAATCAAACAAGTATCAATAAAAAAGAAAAAGCAAGTGGGGTCGTTGATTTGTCAATTGGGGGATCATACTCAAATCCATACATGCACAAAATGCTCAAACATCTCATATGCATTTTATCAAACACCTTATATGAAGAATAACAGTTGCTACAAAGACAATGGTTGTAAACAACCCACGTCATTAGCCTTAAATACTCATCATTAGAAACACATTCATCTAAAAGAATAGGAGATATCATAACGATAGCCTCAAGTCCTTTAGAACAACGTCCCACAAACAAACTGAAAATCTAGCATTCAAAAGCAAATGCATATGTAAAAAGGAATATAAAGGCATTGTAAATGGACAAATTAATCTATAGATTAACTAAATGGAAGAATTAATCTAGAGATCAACTAAATGGAAGAATTATTGTCATCAATCCCATTATCCTAAATTATCCAAAAAAAAATAATGAAGAACACACACATTTGTATGGTAGGAAATTAACAAACTATTTAGGAAAATATGGAGGAGTTAGAGCATACAACTTTTCCACATAGAGAACAAAAAATTAACAAATTACTAATTACATAACCCAATCATTATTATAATCATAATCCACACACAATTGAACTTGAGAACGAAAAACATGCTTTAGCAACCTCATAAAATGTGATCAATTTTTTCATAGTTTTCGTCAACGATAACCACATGCCATTGATTACCACCCACAAAATAAATCATCAACCGTCTAATATTATGAAACTCAACAAAGATGCATATATAGATTCCTTGACAGATATTGATCGGACCATATTGAGCTTTTATAGGAAAACTTATGCAATCAATTAAAGATAAAAATGAAAAGCGAATTGGAAACTAAAAAAAAAAACCAATTAATTGTGGTTAAATGAATGATTGATTCCTGCACAATCTACCCAAAAACCCGGTCTAATGGTTCTTTTCATTTGCCTCTACTAGACATTTTATCTAATAGTTTATGTCCAAGGTCGGACAGTGGGTTGTGTTTGGTGGTCACGGGGGAGAGGAGGAAAGGAGTAGACGCAGTGGTCGGCTGTTTTGGTGTGGTAATGTCTATGGAGTGGTTTTGTGGGCCGTAGGGGTGGGGGTGGATTTGATGGGTCTATGGTGGGGATATTTGGTAGTGGATTGAGGGGCAGGGGGTAATGCGATGGTAGCAAAAAGAGAGGGGTAGAAGAAGAGTAGGGAGTCAGATAGAAGAGGAAGAGAAAAGGGAAGAAAGAGATGCTTGGGGTCGTTTGGTGTCGACAATGGGCAGTGGCATAGTGTGGCACAGGTGGTGGAGACAAAAGAGATAGAGGAAAGCATAAAGTAAGAGGAGAGAAATTAACACTCAATTTAAAACCCTAAATTAACACCCAATTCAAAAGCCTAGATTAACAAATTGGGTGTGTTGTGCTATGTGCGTGTGTGTGTGTGTGTAACTATGTGCATGCGTGCTCAGGGTGGGTGGGTGGAGATATGTTTGTTCGACTGTGTGTGACTGTGTGTGCGTGCGTAGAAATGGAGGTGAGAAAGAGGCAAAGAGAGCTTACCTGGACACCCGTGTCATCGACGGTGGGGTGGCCGAAGATGGGTGAGACAGAGTAGGGAGGTTGGAAAGAAGGAGACAGAGAGAGAGGAAGAAGAAGAAGAGAGACGTTGAGGATTATGTGTCAGACAATTGAGTTGGGCACTGTACAAAAGGTTTGGGCGGGATAAATTTTGTCGGAGATGCATTATGAACCTTTGGATTAAATTAGAATAATGGAGATGAAATATGTACCATTAAATTAAAAGTAGATTAAATTTGAGTCCTTTTTATGCTTTCTCAACTTTAGAGTTTTTTTTTTTATCAAACTTTAAAGATTCAAATGTGGTTTTATCTTATTATTATAGATATAGATAATAGATCTTTGGATTCATGACGAAGAATAAGGCTACTCCAAAGGTATCTTGTAAAATATTATATGTACTATTATTTTTGTTTTGAATGATATGTAATTTGTTTTGAATGATATTAGTTAAAAATTTAAAGTACCAAATCAATTTTTTTTTTTTTATCATAATTGGATTGAAAAAATATCTGAACCCCTACCAAATTGATGTGAAACATTAATTAATGGTTGAAAAAAGGGTAGAAACTCAAATTTGTAATAAATTACTTACAAAAATAATAAATTTTAAAGGTAGGGTATCAATTTTTTTTATTCAATACCATAGTCAAGTCCCCTAGTCAAAAGTATTCTGGATGACAAGAAGTTTGACAGTGTAATGGTCTCAATGAGAGAGCAGCTCAGATAATAAAGGAGTCGGGAAAAAAAAAATTGGTACTATATCATTAAATTTTTTAAGTTTTATGAGTTGAGATGCAAGGTTTTAGTTTTAGATTTGTTTACAATAAAAAAAAATACCTCAAAAGTTTTAGATTCGGGATTGATTATAAATAACCTCAAAAGTTATATAGAAAATATATATCTTATTTTGATTTATTTATGATTATTAATTGTGAAAATAAATTAAAAAAACTTGGCCGGGCAATTGACCAGGCCTACCATTTACAAATAACAAGCGAGAGTTACGTCGGTCTATCCAAAAAATAATATATATTCTTGTCGTTCTAAATGCTACTCTTTCTTTGCTAAACTTAAAAATGTTTGATCCAAAAAAAAACAAGTTAAGAAGCAACAAAATACGGAATATGAAAGAATATGAAGGGGCACGGTTGGCACAAAGACTCCTAAATCCATTCCAAGTCTTTTCTTCCACATCTTCTCTCTGATTCTCCTTACGACCCTTTTTCAAAAAAATTGTAATATAGTACCAAAAAGTAATTATTGGACATAATACTATGGTACTAATTAGTAACTAGGATGAAGGTGAAAAGGTTTGATCAGTGACTAAGCATTAAAAGTTGATGTCACTTAGCTTTTTCTGGTGCAAAAATCTCAATAAAGTCATAAAGCTTTTCAAAGAGAGAGCTTCCCGTGAAGAGAGATAAAACAAGGGAGAGTCACATGGCAGTGTAATTTTGTGATATGGATGAGCCAAAGGCTCTGGGGGTCATTTGTATTTTTGCATAATTGATTATTTGTCTGTGTAATTATTCGTAAATTACGCATATCAAGTTGAGCAAAGTAACTATTACAAGATTGAACTTGGAATATTCTCGAAGCATAAAAATTAGAATGCTACACACATACACACCCAGAGAGTGTATGTACTTTATTATGGAGTGAACACAAATGAATTGTATCTTGGTTCTAATCAAACTTTCAATTACAATACAAACTTCGAATTTAACTGAGTCACATCGAACAAATTGAGACAAAAATCAATTTTCGATTTCTCAAGATAATCACTTCTAGAGCCTTGATATTCGAGTTGCTGACAGATACATCAACCAAACTGAGACAAGAAACAAGATTCAATTTCTCAAGATAATCACTTCTAAAGTCTTGATATTCGAGCAACCCGATGGACTACAATTTTTTCATCCATCGGTAGCTCTCTTTCTAAGTACAAGTCATGTGATGATAGTGTTTACATGTATGTGCACCATATAATAAAAAGTATTATCAACAAGACCACAAACAACACCACCAAAACACCCCTCTTGTACAATTGATCAACTAAATGCTCCACAAACATGCCTAATTGTCCCTTGAGAACCAGTCTTAACACCAATGCTGCCCATTTTCACTATTGAACTTACAAAATCTTGTTCAAATGATGATCCAAATAGGGGGCTAAGTAACCCAAAATACCAGTCGACTACACTCCTAGTTGCTTCATCGTCGTATAGCCTCGCATCAGATTGCAGCACGGCAAAACCGCCCCGTATGTTTTGCAGAATCTGGTTGTCAAATGTCTGCCCGCTGCCCCGATCGATTGGCAATCGGACGTTTACGTCTCCGTTCTGGGGGCAGTTTGCTTTTAGCTCTGGGAGGAATTCGGGGTTTATCGCCGGATCGGAACCTCCGCCGGGGAAGTTGTATAGTCGCTGTGTCATGAAGAAGCATGCCGTGGTACCAATTGTATGTGCAGCTGAAATTTTTGGCAAAGACAATCATATTATGCAATTATAAAAAATTCAAACAATCTAAACTAATATGCATAAGCCTTGTGCATTGACACGAACCCGACTCGATATAAAACCAAAAAATGACACGATTAATTGACACGAATGATAAATGAGTCAAAATAAGATTAGACACAAACACGATTAACGGATATTGTAAGATGTTGCAAAATTAAATGATTTGTGTTGACACGAATACGATACACTCCGAAAAGTGACATGACACTACATAATTAAAACCCTTATTCTTTGACGTAATATCTTAGAGAGAGCAGAGGGAGGAGTAGAAGGTAAACTACAATTTGTATGAAAATGTGCTTACAAGTCATTGAGACAGATTTGCAAAACACTTACACTTTGTCTAAACTTAATGCATTAGCTACATTGGTACACGGGTCGATACACACAACGCCTAGAGTCTTTTTTATTCTCGATTCTCTAATTCATAATGACATCAAATTTGTCAAAGTGGAATTCTAATGTGCAACCAATTAAAAACCATTTTAAATAGGAAAATTGATAGGTTTATACTCTGTGGAGCCTTCTTTATATGTTTGTCTAATTTGATCACACTCAACCTTACGTATCTAACTATCGTATTCGACTCACTTACACACAATCACATTTACAATTGAGTTGGTGAGGCACATTTAACATGCTGCTTTAGATAGAAAGATGGATAAGATGGCTTTTAATTCGTGATATGATAGGAACAGCAAACTGGTCCTTCTTAATAATTAAATTTATTTGTTGGACCATTAATTTTCTATTTTTTTTTTCCATCAAAAACATAATTATTTTTTAAAGCAGAAAGGCTATTATTTTTTTGGTAAATATGATCGATGCCCTCTGAATTATGTCTGGGTTTAAAATATTTATGTTGATTTTAATATTTTTAATATTTACTACCCTTTCCATTCAATTTATTTTACCCTTAAATTGTATTCACAATAGTCCAAAAACCTAATACCTTTCCAACTCTATAGAGTGTTATTTTGCTACCATTTATAGAGTTTTTTTTGGTTCAACGAATGCAAATTGCGTGCATCTCGACTAATACCTTCCTTAATCTGCTCAAAGACAAATTATTCGTGCTGAAACAATAGACAATTGAAAGTTGTAGGGCCAAATCAAAACTGGTGTCAAAGTTGGAGATATTTACCCAAAAAAAAAAAATTCATGACTTAATAATATAACTTGGTTCATATCCCTTAAAATGTCTACCAACTAAAAGCACCAAATCTGCATGCGTATGTGTGTTTGTGTATGTGTGTGAGAGAGAGGAGGAGAGATTTGTTTACAGTACCACTCAGAACCACAAGGTCTTTCTCTGAGAGCCCTTTACCAAAAAACTTGGATTTGAGTTGCTGAATGGAATCTCCAATATCCGGCATGTTATCGGCCATTGAAACATTTGAAACCACTCCATCTCTCCGGCCAGTTTGAACCTCGTAAGATGGTCCATGGGTCTGTGCCATACAACCCAAATCAGAACACAAACAGTAGGAATTATAATACAAAAATAGAATATAGATCAATTTATTCTCTTCCCAACTCGGTTGTTTTGAATTCCAAAATAACTCGTTGAGAGTGTAACTTGGAACACCCTTGAATCATATTGTATATCCAAGTGCTGAAATATGTTAAGATCAACAAAAAAAAAAAATACATACCAAGACCACTGCATCTCTAGCTGCCAAGGCAACAATGTCTGCACAAGAAACCACACCTGGGCACAAAGCTTCCAACTGTGCCTTTGCTTTCTCTATTACATCAAACCCTCCAACCCCTTGATGACCAAATGCATGTCTCTCTGAATCGGGCCCATTTTCAATCAGTATGGAACCATCACAGCCCTAAACAGCCCATAATGAAACAAACAAGAATCATATATACTTCAACAGATACAAAATGTGTGTGTGTGTGTGAGAGAGAGAGAGAGACTTGAACAAAGCAGTCATGGAAGTGAAGCCTGAGCAAGACTGGGGCAATGTTGGGGTTGGAGGCAGCTGCTTCACGAACAACAGAAGTGACAGTAGATTCAGCATCAGGGCATATGTTGGAATAGAATCCTACTTGGAGTTGGCCTTTTGAAACCCCCATAAGATAGATAAAGAATGGAACCAAAACCAGTACCATTTGGTGATTTGTATTTGGGTTTCTCTCTCTCTCCTATTATTGAAGAAGAAGAAAAAAGAAGATCACGCAAGTGTCTAAAAAAAGAAGACTTATACCATTTGGTGCATATATACCTTTTTAGTAGATTATGTACCTAAATTATGTCCAAGTAACATTAGAGGTTTTAGTGTTCTGTTGAAGGTATAACAAAATGAAAGTAAGATTTTTTTTTGATAAAACTATTAAAACATACATACAAATTCCCAACTTACACGATGAAGGGCAGCTGAAAAGAGGCGGATTGGCTACCTTCTGATTAAGTACCAACTAAACCCTTGCTACAGCGTCGATGTGGGATCAAGTTTTTTGATACAGAATACACAGAATCATACACATAAATTCTCTACTTACACAGCAAAGGGCAACTGAATAAAGGCTAGTTGGATACCTTCTGCGACCCACTAGACCACCACTTCTAAGGCAATTGCCGGTTAAAAGGAAAGAGTAATGCTATTAGATCTAAAAATTTACTGACATAATGACATGATTTCATTGGAACTATTGGATCAACACTAAGTTCTAATGTTCGATGAAGTTTACAGTCAATCCAATTGACATAGTGAATTAGTTCAGTAAATTAGATCAATAAATTAGGTCTCAATAAAATTGTTCAAAAGAAAAAACGAAAGTGAGGTTACGATTTAATCTGAGATGTTCGAAAATAAAATTATTTGAAATTGATCTTAATATTTAATATTGATCTCAATTTTTTTTTTCTGGATTTGTAACTTGACCCTAGAATTTTATTGATTTAAAATTAAACCTTAAATAACTAACTTTTATTTAATTATAAATTGAAGTATGAAACAGGCTTTGGCATATGTGTGTGTCTGATAATAGTCTTTGCTGGCTGGCTGTACAGCTCTCTTCATTTAAGCTGCCAGCAATTGAGGGGTGGATGGCAATGTGTCAACAAACTTGCATGTTCTTTGTTGTCTTGCCATTGTTTTCTTCAATTTAAATTGTGGATGACTTCCACTACATGCTTCATTTATGAGAAATGCTACAGCCACTTAATCATCTACCTAATTCATTTAAGTCATTGAATTTCTTTACATAAAATTAATTTTTTTTTAAATTAAATAGTTTTTATTGACGCAACAACTAATACGGATAGGAGACGAACTAAAATGACACGACATGAGGGCCAACTCGATCATTAGTTGAATAAAACCTGGGCTTTAAACCCCACTTAAAAGATTGTCCTATAATTTTTTGTATTTAAATGATGTTATTTTTTGTGTTTAAATAATAATTTTTTTTTTTGTATTTGAATGTTATTATTTTTTTATTTTTAATATATATATATATATATATATATATAAGAGCGATATAGTCATAACCTATATATGAATATAGATAGATATGAGAGAGAAAAATTTTTAATGTTAGTCAAATTCCTAAAATTTAGGAGTTTTTAATTTTACGTCACTTCTAAAGAGAAGGGATAGTCTGGTAAAATTAATAAAAACAAACTTCATAACAAATAAGTTTTTTTGGCTAATTTAAATCTAAATAAGTCCATATAGGGCAACCGGTGTTCAAATTTCTCTAGTAGTAAATCAAATAAAAAATCTAAATCTATAAAAAATAGGCCCCACAAAAAATTTAAATTTAAATTTAAGCCCAAGCAGAATATTTAACTTGAATAGATTGGGCTTATTAATTTAGTCCATGAAATTAAAAGGCCCTAAATTTCAATTTTTTGAAAAAAGAAAAAGAAAAAAGCTAACCATATAACTAAAACTACTAAAAAAATTCAAGTCTTAAACCCCTAAAAAAAGTGAAGTTCAAATTTAACATCATAACTTTTCAATTATTTTATCTTTCTCTTACCATCAAGTTCACATATGATAATAAAAAATTAATTAATATTTTTGTATTTCAAAATTTTAAAAATTAAATTTATTATTAATATTAAAAATAAAAAGATCTTATTTATTATTTTCACGTTAGGCTCTAAAATATCTCGGACCGCCCCGACTATTTATAACCATTAAAATCTCAAGGCACCACTTGGAAAACTAAAACCAATGAGACAAATCATTACTCATTACCTGCTATTTTAATATTTTACCCACTCAAAAAATTGCCACAGTGATATACTTATATACTGAAATTTTTAAAATTTCTCAAGAAAAAAAAAGAAGAAACTAAAAAGTTTGAGCAGTTAAGCGCGAGGAACTTTGTCTCTTTCAGTCAGCGACTGTCCCCTTTGGAAATTACCCACCACATCTTGACAATGACCATCTCTTAACTCGAGATATTCTCCTTGGTTCAACTTCAAGTTTTGTTACCTTTAAAACATAGCAGAGATTGTGTGTGTGTGAAAGAGAGAGAGAGAGATGGGGTGGAGATGCGTGGTCTGGCAGGGGTGAGATATAGGAGAAAATATGTACCTCCTCCATATGGAGCCATGACTTATATGCAAGGGAGGGAGACGGCCCTCTTCCGATATAAGACAAGCTCCTGCGGGCGAAGAGAGATAAAGGTTACTGGTGATTAACCCTTAAGAGGGGCGAAGCTAGGTAAGCCAAAATTCTTCCGTGGGAGGAGGACATCCTGAACGTGCAGATAAATCCCCTACAAAAAGGCACCTTTTGGTGGACAGGGTTCCCTCCCTCCGAAAGAATTTTGGCTGACTTGGCTTCGTCCCTCTTGAGGGTTATTCAGGGTTAATTACCGGTAGTCTTTACCCCTCTTTGCCTGCAGGAGCTTGTCCCACATCAAAAGAGGGTCGTCTCCCCCTTTGCATATAAGCCTTGGCTTCATATGGAGAAGGTACCCATTAGCCTCCATATGAAGCCAAGACTTATATGCAAGGGGGAGAGACGACCCTCTTCCGATGTGGGATAAACTCTTGCGGGCGCAGAGGGGTAAAGGCTATTGGTGATTAACCCTCAAGAGGGGCGAAGTCAAGTCAGCCAAAATCCTTCAGTGGGAGGAAGACATTCCGAACGCGCGGATAAATCCCTTACAAGATCCCACTAATTTTTTGTGCTACTGATTGAATGTAGTGGTTACTAGTAGTTATGAAAGTAGTGAGATTTATTTTATTTATTTTTAGTCTTTTAATTGGACGGTGATACTACGTGGCAGTGATGACGTGGTGTCACCATTGCATTGAATATTTACTTGAGAAATAGGAATACAATTTAGACTTGATAATTACAACAATTAATTTCATTGTGTGTTCTAGTATTTATTGAAACTCACTACCTATTCAATTGTTGACATAATCAAGTCTAATTTTTAAATTTATATAACATTACTCGGTAATTAATCTTGTAGGAAAAAAATTAAAAAAAAAAAAAAAGTATTGGAGGAGATCTCATTCCGACAATAATTATCACTTGAGTAGTTATTGACTTACACGAAAGAAGAGTGTATAAATTATCTTCTTACACAGACTGGTAGTTATTGGCTTGTGTAGGTTCACTTTCTTATTTGTTTATATATTATTAATTATGTAGGTTTACTTTCTTATTTGTTTATATATTATTAATTAGTGATATCATGCGATAATACTACGTGGTATAACCGTTACGATGAATATGTTTTTCCAACAGTATGGGATTGGGATTGGGTGTTGGGGCGACCCGACAATCAACAGATCGTACGCCCAGCCCTTTAAGTTAACCGGCCTGACGGCCCACACGTACCCATTGGACTGACTTTAACGGGCCTTTACGCGTGACAGCCGTCCAGATTCGGAGGAGTGGCCGTTAGTCAACGACCCTTTGAAGTGCTCTCTCTTATCTATCAAAGATATTTTGGAGGGTTTGCTTCTTCTCAAAGCAACGCAAAATACCCAAAAAGGCTTGTGATTTGATCTGTTTGAGTCTTCTCTGCTGGTACATAATCAGTTAATTCCCTCTTTACTGATTATAGTTTATTTATTCATTTTTTTTCTTGATCTGTACTCGTCGTTGAATTTGATTATTACATGAGCCTAATGCTCTGCTTATGATGGTAGTGATAGTTCGATTGTATGTTGGTTAGATTTTCTCTAAAACATGAAATTAGTGAATTGCAGAGACCCTTGTAGAGAAAACCCACAAATTGATAAAAAGGAAGGATTTGGGGGGGTTTATGATGGTGGTGATAATTATTCGATTGTATGTTGGTTAGACTCTTCCTACAACATGAAACTAATGGATTGCAGAGATCCATATAGAAAAACCCAGAATTTGTCAAAAAGGAAGGATTTTGGGGTGAGGATGGTCTATGGGAAACCTCGGAGTGACAAACTTGAAGCTATTAGTGGTTTGGTGATCAATAAGGCCACCGAAAAACCTAAAATTCTTTTTATAGACTTTACGAAAGCTAAAATGCAATCAATTCAAGTCAATTTCAAATCAGTCCCTTACACCTTAATATTCAAATTTCTTTTTTTTTGCTTCAATACCTATGTGCTAATCAAGAACTGGAAAGTTATTATTATGTGATTTATCAATGAGGAATTTTTTTTTTGGGAGGGGAAGTAGGATCAACTGATATGTAGTCCATCCAGCTGTAGCATGTGAAACCATTAATTATCAGCCCTTGTGATGATTGGGAATTTTGTTAAAACATTAGGGTAAACCCAAAATGAAATTGCTGCAAAAAAGTGTAGTGGCCTAGGGATTGAGAGAGATGGGTTGACAAGTCCCACATATTTGGAATATTGGGAACTTCTAAGGCAATCCAGGAATTATCGCCAATGGCTGGAATTTGTGGTCATTAATACAGGGGGCAACATTCTGGTTTCACTTCTTTGATACGGTATATGAATATTGATGAGGACAATGGTGTTATGATATCTATGAATTTTTTGCTTCATTACCATTTTGTGCATTTCCTTGTTTATGTTTTCTTGCAATTGCTCCATATATTAACAAAAATCACTAGGATTGCAGGAATGTTGGATGGAAACACATCTTTATGTAGAACGATTTCAACCAAAGTAGAATGTGTAGTAGGCTGTGGGTGAATTTTTTCCAGGAAATTAAAATGGTTTATGCATCATTCTAAAGGGAGTCTCCATGTGGAATCGTGCATTGGTTGAATGATGGTGTGATTGGAAGAAAGATGTTTTGTAATTAATAAACTTGACTGACAATCAAGTTACATCTAGTGTTGTTCCAATCTCTTCCATTCTTGTACGCAACCTGTAAAATTGTACATCATGAACTACTTTCTTTCCCCTTATGACGTTCCTTCTTTTTCTGGGAAAAACAGCATTTTGAAACATGGCAGATGATGTTGAGTACCGCTGCTTTGTTGGTGGCCTTTCGTGGTCAACAGCTGATAGGGACCTAAAAGAAACTTTTGAAAAGTTTGGCCATCTTCTTGAGGCAAAGGTAATGTTGTTTGGTTGTTTGTATTCTTTTGTTTGCTTGCATGAAATCTTTGATGAACATGTGTACTCTCTCTCTCTCTCTCTCTCTCTCACACACACACACACACACACACATCCCCCCACCGAGTGACAGAAAAAGAGAGTTTCCTGATTATTTGGCAGTTTTGACTTTGATGAAAGTTTCCTTGTTCCTGCTAATTTGCATAAATATTCTTATTCTTTTCTTATTCATGACCCCATGGCCGCTTGAGCAGATTTTTTTTAGGTCTTGTTTAATTTTTCTTGCTCTGGGGTATTCAACATTATTTTTAGTGCTAAAAGAGAAAGGCTAGTTTTAGATTGAACCTTAATTTACAAAATTATCCTTAAATGCTATTTGCTACCTTAAAGGCCTACAATACCTCCAATATATCATTCAGATCTTCATTTTCAGTTTTATCACACAGTCCCTACCATTATGTTAAAAGGAGATGTTTATGATCACATAAGGATTTGTCATTTGGAAACAGAGTTATGCTGTATTTGATGCTAGTACCTGGCTTCAGGTGCTCCCAGCAAAGGGAAAAGGGGTGGAGGGGCTCATTGATGGAAGTGCCTAAACTTTAATACTGAGCATTCCATTGAACCACTGGTTAATAAATACACATAATTTTCAGGGTCTTACTTGGACCAAGCTGAGCCACACTTTATGGTGCTCAAGCTCCGCTTAGGTGACCACATTGCTCTTTCTTGACTCAAGCTGGTGTGGTGTGTCGCTTTTGTTATTCATACACAGCCTGTTGTACGTGGTAGGGAACTCTCATTCCATTGAACCACTGGTTAATAAATACACATAATTTTCAGGGTCTTACTTGGACCAAGCTGAGCCACACTTTATGGTGCTCAAGCTCCGCTTAGGTGACCACATTGCTCTTTCTTGACTCAAGCTGGTGTGGTGTGTCGCTTTGTTATTCATACGCAGCCTGTTGTACGTGGTAGGGAACTCTCATTCCCAGTAGAATTCCACAAGCAACTTCCAGGAGGTGGCACTTCTTCATTCTACAACTTGGTACATATCACTATTGCCTTCCAAATCATCTTTTGGAACATCTGCCTGATCTGAATTTGGCGATTTTCCTTTCTCCTCTAAATCTCACATTTTCAGATTGCAGTCCCTTATCAAGTGTCCTTTGTGGCTCTAGTAAGACCTTTTTCCTTGAGCTACTCTGCTCGATTCATGGGCCTGATTATGTATAATGGTTTAACACTTTCTGGGCCATGTGTTGTTTTAGACTTTGTTAATACTGGATTCTATTCAGTATTTTTCTTTGGGAATAGGATTACATCAATATTTTATCATGTAAGGAATACATATGGAATGTCTTATGGTGATTGATGCAAAGAGAGATCAATATAATTCGTAGATATGTTAAAAAACAGATGAAAGTACAGTGTCTAGTAAACTCTCACCGGAAAAGTCAAAAATCTTTGCAATTTATTTTTTTGTCATGTAAATTTTTTTTGCTTAAATGAGTACCATCAGAATAGGTGAAAGTACACTTCAACCTATGTAAGAAGCTATTGAATGTGCAATAAGACCAAGGCTCATGAGCCTACCAAGCTGAACACCTAGTTGATTGAACTCAGCTCATCTGACTAATGAGCTCATGTTTTCGCGTTTTGTGTTAGTTCTTTACTTATAAAAGATAAATCCTTGTACATCTCATGTTTCACAAGGATGACTATGGTGATTGTTGACTTGTTTTCCTGGTTGCTTAACTCTAAGTATAAGAATCACATTCAAATCTTGTTAGCCTCCAATTTTGGATATTTTTTTTTTGGCTTTCATTTCTGGTCGGCAAAACAGTTCATCCATCCAATTTAAGATGGCTTCTGCTGTGACCTGAGTGGTTCCATCTGGTTTATGAAAAAAGGCATCCTATTTGACGACCAAACCCGCTAACAGGCCGTTTCTGGTTTCAACCAGCTGGTCGAGTCTGTTCTAGGAACACTGGTTCAGATGATTCACACACTCACCCGGTTTTTTTTTTTTTTTTAATTCTTAGCATGAAGCATCTACAGTTTTGATCATGTCATGATGTGTGTGATCTATGGTGAATGCTTGGAATACATTGTTATGTTTCTTACTGGATAAAATGCTTTCTTCCATATAGGTTGTTCTTGACAAGGTCTCTGGACGCTCTCGTGGATTTGGATTTGTCACTTTTGATGAGAAGAAAGCAATGGAAGATGCTATTGAAGAAATGAATGGCATGGATTTGGATGGACGAACTATTACAGTGGATAAGGCTCAGCCTAACCAAGGTTCAGGTAGAGACAACGATAGAGATCGCCCCCGTGATCGCGACCGTGGTCGTGATCGCAATCGTGATTCCGGAGGTGGTAGGGGATCTGGAGGTGGAGAATGTTATAGGTGTGGTAAGCCAGGGCATTTTGCTAGGGAATGTCCAGGTGAGGAGGCTCGAGGTGGCAGGTATGGTGGCAGGGAGGACAGGTATGGTGGTGGTGGTGGCGGTGGCGGTGGCGGTGGTGGTAGCCGTTATGGTCCTGATCGGACTGGAGATCGATTTGGTGGACGCAACAGGGATTCTGGTGGTCATGGTGGAGGTGATCGATATAATCGTGAACGTTCTGGACCTTATGATCGCCGGGGTGCTGGAAGTTTCTGATCTGGATAAAATAACTACTGAAATTGAGGTATGCAACTTATAATTTGGAAATTCCTCATCTCCATGTTAATGTGGTACTGATGGATCTACTTTAATGTCCTGTTGCAGCTAATGAAGTGGAGGTGCTACTGCTACTGGATGCAAAGTGTTTGAAGTTTCCTGTTGGATCTCTTTTGTTCATGACATGACGAAGGGGTTCAATGTAGTGGATTGATCTTTTTAAAGTGTGAAACTTGGCACCAATAATCTTCTACTTTTGTGACCTAATATGTTCGATGGTTTGGTGTAATGGGGTCTTATGCTTTCTTGACATACACATTCGAATCTGGTCTTTACACTTTTGAATGCCATTATTGCTGCTGGACATCTACTTTTTTACATAGGCAACCACAAGTGGCAATATTCCTGCTGGATTCGTTTATGATTTTCTTGCATTGGCACTTGCACATCTCAAAGTTTCATGGTGTTAAGTGGGTCTCTGAACAGTAATGGTGAGAACTTAGATTTTCTTGGTTATTATTTAACTAGTTTTGGAGTCCACCAGTGGTCGCCCGCCTCTTTTCTATTTGGATGTAGAGGCCATCTTAGAAGTACAATTTCCGTTGCTCTTCTTCTAACATTGTTAACCTTTTTGCAGGCTACTTGGCTATTCATGGCCTTTTTGGATACATGATTGGCTTTCTTTGTTCCTAATTGGAAACGTTTAAACATATTAAAATTGAGAAAGCTTTTTGGATGGTGACAAGCCTACTTCAAGTCAATGCACCACTGCTCACTCTTTAATTTCTGCAAGGCGCAGTGAGGAAGAGTTTTGTTCTTCTTTGAAATGTGGCAGGTTGTTTGGATGCTCTGGAAGAGTTTAACAACCACTGTCCACTATTTCTTGTGCTAATCATTGCTCTCCTTGGGGAGAAGGTTGTTCTGGTTCTCCACTTGAGATGTCCTGGTTTTCATTGCTGAGATCTAGATCAGTGTTCATGTTTTACCAAGTCAGCTTGTCATTCCCATAACAGCTCATGGTTCACCTTGTTGGTCCCTTTTAACCTTGAGGATAATGCCGCCTTTCAAATTTTTGTTGGAGACTGCTGCCTCTTGCAAGTCCTGAAGAGTCTTGGGAGGAAAATGATTTCTGGGGTGGTCACAAAGTTTGTTTATTTTTGGTTTTGGGTGGATTATTTATTTATTTTTTTTGACCTTTACTCTTCTATCTTTAAATACATGCAATTGGCTGTTCCCAGATTGGGCTTACATTGTCCACTTTAGGCTTGGAATCAGGAAGGGAAAAAAAAATTATGTTTCACTACCCTTTTAAACTATCCTCTTTTCACCATGCCAATGCTAATCTTATGTTGTCTATGACTTAATGCCAAAGGTAGACTGACTAAAACAATGTGGGAATGATTACATGCTCTTTGATATTCAGTGAATGTCCCAATATTTGTATCCTCCTTTTCTTATCTTGTGTCTTTTTTGCCCTAAACCAGAAGCATTGGATTCATGTGATTTATTGGATTCTAATGCCTCCCTTATTCCGAACGCAACAGTTCAAACTCTGAGATTGAGAGTTCTTTCCAATCATATTTTTACATTTAGAAAATTCAGCATGCAGATCTTTAACTTCTTATTTTGCATCTATTGCTGATAAATCAAGGGTTTTAATGATGATATCATTGTCCAAGTATATTGTACCTACCAATGTTGCTGGAATGCACAATTTTCGTGTGTTGTAGTTGGTGTAACTGTTGCTTTTCTCTGGTTACACATTTTTTTTTGCTGTGTTACTTTTTGTTGATCTCATTGCTTAAACTTGGTATAGACATGCTCAAGCTAGCTGTGGGCATAGGGGGGTTTCTTTGAGTTGTTTACTTATTTGTTTTTCCTCCCAATGATTTGTCATGAATTTTCTCTGGTTGCAGCAAGTGTATGTTTTTCTCTGGTCATTCTGCTTGGCTAATATCTGCTTCTCGAATGAATTTTTCCATCATGTCTTTTTTCTTTTCTTTTCTTTTCTTGATCAATTGTGCAATTTCTTGTTAGGAGTGGATGAAGTGAACTCTGGTGAAAATGTTCGTAGTTAGAGTTTGCCTTAGTCAGTGCTCAATGGTTAGATAATGAGGGAGTTATCTCTTACAAATATCCTAGTTCTAGTGTGGAGTTGATGGTCTGTCTTTGATTGGACTGGACTGGAGAAAAGATTGATTGAGATATACATAAGTTGGTCCGGACATTTTTGATTGTTGAACCAAAAAAACAGACATGTGCAATTCAACCCTACTGCAATAAACACTTAAAATGGGAGTGATTTTTCTCTGATACATTTTTTTCTTCATTTTCATTGTTGAATCCTCTATTCTGAAATCAAGTGGACCTATGTCACTCACTAATGACGAGGTAAGAAAATGAAAATATATTGAGGTAGATTTAGGTCCTTTAAAATTCTCTTTAGCCTTATACTATGTTTGGTAAGACAAAAAATTAAAAAGATCAAAAGTGAGAATGACAAATAAAATATTATGTTTGGGGACGGATGAAAGAAAATGGGAATGATGAAAAATCTTGAAAAATTAAAAAGATGAACTTTTTAACTCGTCAAATTCTATTCCTCAAAAAATTGGTAAAACAAAAAAAGATAATGAAGAAATAAATATGGTGTTGAAATGTATATTATTTATTTGTAACCAGGGGGTGGGTCCTTCTTGCTTTTATATATCTTATTTATCTATTATATATCATGTATACATTAATGAATCCAATAGTGAAATATGCATTTATACTTTTTTTCTTCTATTTTTTTATCCATACTAGACACAAAAAAATCAATCATTTCTATTTCTCATGTCTCTTACCCAACACAAAGGAGAAAAAAATATTTATCTCTTGAAAAAAAAATAGATCACTTCTAATTTTCATCCTTTAATTTTTTCATCCATCCTACCAAATACACCATTTGAGTACCTTGAGCGTGTCTTCAGTCTTCTTTGCAGACACAAACGCCTACTCAGGTGGTGACTGTTCCCAGTTCCCAAAAAAAGGGTTGTGAATGTTCTTTGCAATTGGAGATTTGAGGTGGTTAGTTCACAAGGCTATTGAAAGTTCGGTCTGTGTAAATCTGAAATTGATGGATTTTGATGTTTGAGAAGAGTAAACCATGGGTTTTATAACAATTTTTCAGATGGGTCACCAACGGGTGGTTGTGATTGGGTTCATTTTAGTGATGGTGCTGGGTAGGTAAAAGAGGTTGGGATGCCTACATTCAATTATAGCGAAGAGTAGCGACAGAGAAAGAAGAAAGGGGAATGTTGGTGGGTCAGCCATGGATGGGTCCTGTGTGTGAAGCCAGATCACCATATGTGGAGGTGGAAGATGGAGGTGCTGGGAGAGAGGGAGAGACTTGGAGCTACATCTGCAGCCCAGCACTGTTCTTTTGGACAAAATACGCGACAACAAGTTTTTCCTGGCATTCTAATCTCATAAACTATGAACGCAATAAAGGAGCATACAAGGAATCAATCCTTTATATAGGCCAAGACTTAGCAAGGAGTATCAAGTTTAACCACCTCACTTACAGGTTATCAGCTTGAACCCGTGAATTGTACAGCTTGATAAGGATGTAGAATAATGCAGTGTCACTGATTTACTCGACAGCAGAAATAATGTATCCTCACCATTATTTCCAAACGAAAGAATAGGGGGTTTCCTCATCCTTCGGCCATTTTGACATGTCTCTCAGAATCCCAACTAATGGGGTGACTATACAACAGTGAACAACCAGAGGTATATCACCATGTAAGCTCAACATTAGCTCCTCCATCCCTCGTATTCCACATTTCCATTTGCTTGTTGCTGAAAAATACTTGGCGGGATTCGTACCTGGAAGGAAGTAAGCACCATGTCATAAAACAGCAGAATTTAAAGAGAAAGGGAAAAAAACTTCCTTTTCAAGCCAACGCATTAGGTGGTTTTTTTTTTTTTTGTGATTGTGTTGTGGGGGTGGTTTGCAGTGTACAGGCAGTCGAGACATTGAGAAATGAGATGACATATAAATAAAAGAAAATATGTAGGCAATTAATTCCCCCCTATACTCCTCGCAGTAAATATTATCAAGAATTATTCTCATATGATACCATTTGCAATCTACTATTAGTCAAATTTCACAAGGTTCATGGGCACCACATGATAATATCACCTTAAAGCAGTGTGCTTTATAAGACAATTTTGACTGTCTGATCACGATGGATGCATAAGACTGCGATATTTGAAACAAGCAAGATGAGGTTCCTGCTGTTATAAAGAAACTGAAGCTCCACTGATACTAAAAAGAACTGACTAAGAGGAAAACAAAATAGTTATTTTTCCAAATAGTGAAAATGTTTTGAGAACTAACATCAAGAGGGCAATTCATAGCAGCAACCCTGGAAATGGAGCAGGTAGGAGGCACCAGAACAAAATTTCCCAGCCATGGATCAATGCAAAACTGTACCCTTATTATCTTTCATCAGCTCGTGCCATTCTCCATCAAACAATCCCCTCCGTTCAAGGAACTCCCTCTGCAAATATCAGTGAAAGTCAAGGTTTGTTGGGTTGCCGTTTGGATGCCTGAACACAAGGATCTGTTTAGAGTCTTTAGAAATAGCGTGGTATGAGCAGTTCAGCACTCCAGCATTAATAGGAAAGAAACCTTCCTTCCCAGGCCAATTCCTCCACTAGGAGGTGTCTCACTTCAGCCATCCTTTAAACTATTCAACTTTAAAGAGAAAAAAATCAATCCTGAGTGATGTTCACTCAACAGAATGAAATCCTTCACAAAAGCACCCTTGAAAGAAACACCATCACTTATCCTTCTCAAAAAACCAGCACCAATTCTGGTATCTCCACACCTAGTGTCTTTCATAGAAGGATTCTAATATCAAACTTACCATTACAAGCCACCAATCAATAAAGGATCATCCCTATTGCTTATGACATGGATACCATAAGGATCAAATAAACTGTCCACTGCCCTACGCTCCCAATTTTGCATAGCTCAAAGAAGTGAGAGTCCCCCAAAACATCTCCAATCTTGATGCAGAATCTTTACTTTCAGCACCAAAACAATGAAAATTGAAATAGATTCATAACGGAAAACACAGGTTTGGGGTACTGTGGAAGCTTCAGTTAGTGGGGAGAGGGTTGGGATTAATTGGATGTCAATAGGAGAATGGAACCATCTGGTTTTTTTGCATATCCTAGGGACTGTTCGTTTTTATCTTTTTTGGGTAGAGTTTGGGTGGCTGGGGTTGAGTTTTGAGTCATGGTGGTCATACTTTTGGGCTTGAAAAAAAAAAACGAAGATTTCACATTTGCTAGCAGGATCAGAGAGCTCAACTCAAAGGAGGAACGAGGGGGAAGATGCAGGTGTATGTTATGTTGAAGTATAAATATTTGCAGTAAATGGATCAACCCGAAAACGACACCATTGATTAAGTTTTTTTTTTTGATTCAAGGGTTAATCAAGTTAACTGAGTTGTAATCTTTGGTAAAAAAATCGTGGGTTATATTTCTGAAATCAAAGAACAGAAAAAGGAGAAAGATAAGAAGAAGAAACATGTGCGTGCAAGATCCTGCACAATATAAAAAACGAGAACAGATCTCTCCCTTGGTGAACTCGAGTGAGCCAGTTGAGTGACCAACCACGCTGCTTGGAACAGCCTGCGAGGTCCGGTGGTAACCTGGAACGGCAACGGGAGACCCTGAGGGAGCGGAAGAACGATCCAGTAAGGCTGAAAGAGGTTCCTAGAACGAAAAAGAACAAGTTAGAAGGGCGTCGGAGTGTTTTCCGGCGTATCCCCTCCGACGATCTAGTCAGTCTTTGAGAAAGAGAGAGGAAGGAGAAAACACTGAGTGTGTATTGTAGTAAAGAGTTTTTTGTTGCATACCCCTCTTGCCTTTTGCAAGGAGTATTTATACCTCAAAAGCTCATGATTGCTGTCAGTGTAGTCAGTAGGTGATCATTAGGTACAGGCAGTGTGCGCACTGATTCTGATGCGGAATGTCTTCTCTTCTTAACTGCTCAGGGTCCCGAGCAATCAATGCTGCGTCATCGGGATGCCGACGGTACAATGTACTCCTCTCGGGGAGAATGAAATAAATGCTCTGTATTAGGAGCATTTATTGCCTTTCATTTCCGAGTCTTACCGCATTGAATGCAGTCTCGTCAAGGGAGTGGTACAATTAATCGTTTGTGTTCCCAAGTCGCGTGTCAGCAACGGCATGCGGCTTTTCTGTTCTTGATGTGATATCGTATGCCACGCGTCCATCCCCCATTGGTTGTGGCCCCTGTATTCCAGTACGTTCTGACACTAATTGTGTAAGACGAGGTCATGATAAATAGCCTAGACTAGCCTAGGCTAATGACCTGTACGTCAATAGCTTATCCTGGAGTAGAGGAGGCGTCCAGGACGGGGTACACCTCGGCACCGAGGAAAGGCTCATCTCGGAACCGAGGGAGGGATACCGACCGAGGTACCATATCAGACCGAGGCTACGTGTTGGTTGTAAAACGTACTGAATGCCATGATCCTATATGACGAGTACCTCGGGGGCGAGGACCTTGTGCGCCGATGGTGCTTGATCTTAGCAACAGTGTTTTGGTAATACCGAGGACACGTGTCTTCATCATGGAGCATTTCAGAAAAGTCCCATCAACTGCCCCCCAGCCTTCGATCTTCTGACACCGAGGGCACGCGTTGTAAGGAGACGAAGGGTTTTCCAACAACCACAAATGCTTCATCATTGCCTCGAGCCGCTTTCCCCGGCTTAGGATGTCGTGTGCATTAAATGCGCCGTTTCGTTTTTCGCGCCCAATGATGAAACTGCCACTATATAAATGGGGTTCCTCTTGCATTTTCTTGCTTCGCCATTCCGAACTTCCTCAAGAGAGCCTTTTCCTGAATCTTCGTCGGAGATCTCTTTCCTCTTCCATCGTCGGATTCAACGGCTTCAACGGCTCGTTCGCCCTGCCCGTGGGGAAAATCACATTGCCAGTTGTCACAGGTCCCTTCGTCATCAACACCGAGTTTGTCGTGATCGATACGAACTCTCCCTACAACGTAATTATGGGGCGAACATGGCTGCATGCGTTGGGAGCGGTGCACTCCACTTTCCACCAGAAATTAAAATTCGCCACGCCAGAGGGTATCATGGAGATCCGGGGGGACCAAGCGTCCGCGAAAAATTGTTTTTATTCAGCCGTTCGAGCCGGGGCGTTCAGCCAGGAGAAGGGGCAAGCACCGGAAGAGATTATGGAAAAATAGCAATCACAGTCCGGGCGTCCAGGAATGGATGACCCCCGGATCGACCCAACTGAGCAGTCGGTAGAAGCCCTCCGGAAGGTGCCCTTGGTAGAGGGAGAAGAAGAGAGGTATTTCTTAGTTGGGACCTCAATGCCCACAGCCGAACAGGAGGAGATGATCGAGTTCCTAAGGGGAAATACAGACGTGTTCACGTGGAACGAGATGGAAATGACGGGGGTAGACTCCGAGATAATCACACACAGGCTGCATGTTGACCCGTTGCACAAGCCAGTCAAACAGAGGCCACGACGTATGGCCCCGCATCACACTAGCGCGGTCAACGAGGAAATCGACAAACTCCTGAAGGCCGACGCCATTCGAGAGATACAGTTCCCAGAATGGCTGTTTAATACGGTATGCGCAAAGAAGAAAGGAGGAAAATGGCGTGTCTGCGTAGACTTTACAGATCTAAACAAGGCATGTCCCAAGGACGACTACCCCCTGCCAAAGGTGGACCAGCTGGTAGATGCCACTGCCGGATATGAACGAATGGACTTCCTGGATGCCCGAGCAGGATATCATCAGATCCCTCTCTATCCCCCGGATCAGGAAAAGACGGCGTTTATCACTCCGAAGGGAGTTTACTGTTACAAAGTGATGCCGTTTGGACTAAAGAACGTCGGGGCAACATACCAAAGACTGATGAATCGGATGTTCAAAAGCAGATCGGCAACACCATGGAGGTCTACATTGACGATATGTTGGTGAAGAGCAAACGGAGTTGTGATCATCTGACAGATTTGGCGGATACCTTCTCCACCCTCAGGGAGTATGGGCTGAAGCTGAATGCGGCAAAGTGCGTTTTCGGAGTGGAATCAGGTAAATTCCTCGGATACCTGGTTAGTCAACGAGGAATCGAAGCCAACCCAGATCAGATTCAAGCGATCCTGGACATCCGGAGCCCCCGCACTGTCCGAGAAGTCCAGAAACTCACAGGGATGCTGGCTGCACTTAACCGTTTCGTCTCACGCTCCTCGGACAAATGCAAACCCTTTTTCGGAGCAATCAAGAGTGCTGGGAAGAACATGTGGAGCCGGGGGTGCGAGGACGCCTGGCTGGAATCAAGGAATACCTAAGGACTCTTCCAACCTTATCCGTCCCCACCCAGGGGGAGATGCTGTTCTTGTACCTGGCAGTATCTGAGTTTGCGGTAAGCGGGGTACTTATCCGTGAACATGAGCACCGCCAGAAGCCGATTTATTATATAAGCAAGGCGCTCCTGGACGCAGAGACAAGATATCTACCCCTAGAGAAACTGGCTCTATCCCTGGTCACCACTGCAAGGAAACTGCGGCATTATTTCCAGGCGCACCCAATCACTGTCCTTACCGATCAGCCCTTGAAAGCGATCTTGAGGAAAGCGGAACTCTCCGGAAGGATTTCCAAGTGGGCAGTAGAGTTGGGGGAGCACGACATTCATTTCAAACCCCGAACTGCGATAAAAGGTCAAATATTGGCAGACTTCATAGCTGAGTTTTCGGGGGAGCATCCCGTTTTAGAAGGACCGCCTCCTCCCGACTTAGCGTCTCCAACGAATTGTGAAGGATCGCCATGGCTTTTGTGTGTGGACGGTTCGTCAAATAGTAAGGGGTCCGGAATCGGTATCTTGCTGACCTCTCCAGATGGGATTATTGCGGAGCAGGCCGTTCGGCTGGGATTCAAGGCTTCGAATAATGAAGCTGAATACGAGGCCCTCATCTCAGGACTTCGGTTAGCGGAGGCGACTGGAGTTACCGATTTAATCGTGCATTGTGATTCTATGCTAGTAGTCAATCAAGTTAACGGAGAGTTTGAGACAAGGGACCCTAGGATGAAGGCCTACCATCACCAGGCGACGACTGTAATTCGAAGGTTCGGCCGGATTGAAATCAAACAAGTGTCCCGAGACAAGAACACACATGCCGACGCCCTGGCTTGTCTAGCCTCGGCGGTGGACTCCTCCCAGTCGCGCAGGATCACCATTGAATACCTTCCCGCATCCTGCATAGACCATGCTCCCGAGGCAATGGTCATCCAGGACGCACACAAGCCGCCCAGTTGGATTGATCCCTTTCTCAGGTTCCTAACAACAGGAGATCTCCCGGAGTGTTCAAAGGAAGCAAGGAAGATAAAACTCAAAGCTCCAAGATTTTGGGTCTCTCCGGATCAAAAACTGTATCGGAGGTCTTTCTCGGGGCCTTACTTGCTATGCGTCCAAGAAGACCAAGTACAAGACCTTCTCTATGAGGTACACGAAGGAATATGCGGGGGGCACTCTGGGGGGCGATCA